ATAGCTTGATCGAAGCTCCTCGAGTTGCTGTGTATGAGATGCACGAAGATCGTCAAGAGCTCTGCCAATTTCTTCGGCATGGCTGGACTTGAGCATCTCCAATTCGCGAGAATGGGTATTCTGAGTGTGAGAGACAGCTTTATTTATCTCATCAATATGATTAGCCTTAAGAGCTTCCAGTTCTCGAGAGTGAGCCGCATTCGTCTCAGCAATAGCCTGGTTAATCTCCTTAGCATGGTTGGACTTTAGCACCTCAAGCTCTTTAGCGTAGGTACTCTGAGCGTCGGCCAGAGTCTTCGCAAGCTCATCCGCATGACTTGATCTTAAAGCTTCGAGTTCCTGTCCGTGCACAACTTTAACCTCCATGATTGACTTATTAATCTCATCCGTATGGCTCGATTTTAGAGTTTCAATCTCATGCGTATGAGCGAGGTTGACTTCATGCTGCACCTTACGAAGTTGCTCTTCATGCCTCCTCTTCAGCTCATCCAAAGCCGTTGCATACGCAAACGCTTTTTCATCGCTGATTTCCTTGAGAGACTTTTCATGTTCGGCTTTAAGAGCTGCTAAATCAGCAGCGTGAGTTTGCGTGCCCAGCAGTTCATCTGTCATTGTACTGCAATCCACCATGATAGCCCTCGGCAGAGAAGGAACCGGTGGTGGAGGCGAAACTGTCCGGCCCCTAATGGACCTCCTACTAGGAGTTGCAGATCGGTACGATTCATTGTCACTGCCGTCAAATTCGCCCAGTTCAGCAGCCAGGTTCTTGGTAGGCTGGTGAGGAGTACCTGCTACACTGCTGCTCGCAATACTTGGGGGGCTGCTGGGGAAAGCGGGCTCCTCACTAGGCTGTCTGGAACGACGGTAAGCACCGCGGCTAACTCGGAGCGGGAATTTGGCCTGTAAGGGCGGCAAGGTAACAGGCGCACCCGCGTCGTAACCGAAGGGGAAATCTTCATCCTCGGTTGAGGCTGTACTATGCATAGACCCGCTTCGTGGACGACCCTGGAAGCCAGATATGCTATTTCTAGGCGTACGGCGTCTCGAAGGGCTTTCGGTTTCAGTCTCGGCATCATCGCTCGAAAATTCTTCAGCACCCGTGTGGAAGTCATCCGTCTCAGTCGCCGGCTCGTGCGCAGTTTCGAACGCAGCGTCGCTTGTCTCGTTGGCCGTTTCAAACTGTTCGCATGGCTCTTCCGCTACGGATTCAAACTTAGTGGATTGCGAAGCTAGTGTCGAAGGAGCTGGGCTGGTAGAATCAGGCTGGTCCTCCCAATTCGAGTCTTCAGAAAACACCTCGCTTCGAACAGTACGCAGGCCTCCTAGTAGTCGCAACGGCTTTCTTTGTTCTTTCACTTCGGCTTTACGTGTGCGTTTAGGTGGCGGCGGAGGCTCATTTCGTAATTTCTCCAGTTCATCGCGAGCCTCTTGTAGCATGCGCCTGAGTTCAAGTTTTTCGGTCTTCTCCCTATGCACATTGCTCCTTAGTCCCTGAATTGTGCGGTGAGCATGGCCTAATGATGCCTTGAGCGTTTCTGACTCTAGCTGAGAGTGTCGCGGGGTTCCCTTCACAGGCGATGGAGGAGGTGAGTGTTCCGGCGTCGTCTTGTCTTGCGCGGATTCGGAATCTTCTTGGTTCATGCCAAGGATTGATTCGCGCTCAACCACCCTCGCTCTCTGCGAAGCAGACACTGCTTTGGCGAGCTCTTGATTTTGTCCGGTCAATTCATCTATCCTCTTCCGCAAGGCTGCTCGTTCGGTGTCGGCGATGACTATATTACGTTTTGCAGAGCCAAGTTCTATGTCGTGATGCTTGACTGCGGTAGCATATTCCTCGCTAAGCTTTGAGTGATTCAGTTTGACCTCGTCCAATTCCTTTTGGGTGGAATTCTTCTCGGCTTGAAGAACAGTCAGAGTCTGTTGTAATTTTTTGTACCGATCCTCGGCCTCTCTCTCCTTAGCCAGGAGGTCATGGACCTGGGTCTCGAGACTCCAGTTCTCATCCTTGTACCGATGCTCACTCTCATCCAGTGTCTTAACTCGCTGTTGGAAACCCTCTGCTTCGTACTCAAGCTTAGACTTCTCAACTCTTATCTCCTTCAACTCTTCTTCCTTCTCGGCAAGCAGGCCTTGCAAATTGCGCACCTGAGCAATTAGAGATGTGCTGATTTCCGCGGCAAACTCGATGTCATGGACTCGATTGGCAGGTTGGTTTCGGACTTTTCGGTTGGGGACACTGAATTTGGTTGGAGATGCAGTTGCCTGGTCTTCGAACTTGGAAGGGCTCACAGAACGCTGCATGAACAGTTAGTTGACTGACACTCAATGAGTTTCATATTGGACAATCTTACTCTGCCTCCTTTGCCTTCCGGCGCGAGTGGCGAACCAGCAGTAGCTTCATTACTAGGGATCCTCTGCTTTGGTAGAAATGCACGTGCGCTTTCCCTGGCGACATCATTATAGTCCCTTTCAATTTCAGCAAGTCTTTGTCGCAGATCATCGGAGAGTTCCCCTTCAGCCTGCTGCTTCTCAACCTCCATTAATCTTTGACTTAATTCCTTGCGCTGTTGTAGCAAAGCTGTGCCTAGTTTCCCAGCTTCTTCCATTCTTCGATCCGTCTCGGCTAGATGAGCCTCTAATGCACGCTTCGCCTGCGTTGGCGAAGCATTGGGACTTAGCGAAAAGGAGTCAAAAGTGGATAATCGGTGACGACTTGCACTTGGAGGTGATGGTGCTACCACGAAAGGATCATGGCGGGAATCAATGGCAGGCGAAGGCGATGAAGCCCCGCCTCTATTACCAAAGGAAGCCATCACGCTGCTGATTGCAGGTGTCCAAGGAGAAGGCGATTTCCCCTTGGATTAAAATTGCAGCATGCAGCCTGATAAAGACGCGAAGGCCGCACGTGAATCGCGAAAATCTGGTAAGTAGAAGGTTGTTTTTGACGTGGCGGGAGCTAACGAATACTGCCCCTGGGCCAAGAGCCAAAGAGATGCAGCCTAGTGAATCGAAAGGGATTGAGTGGTAGACCGAAGGCCCAGCGAGTGAAGTACACGTCCAATTAAGATTCGGACGGTGTGGCGTGGAGTTTGACAGCGCCCAACTTTTGACGTGAGATGACTTGGATGATCCTGATGACGGCAAAAAATATGGCAAACAGAACAGCTAATGGCCAAAAAAATTTCTATTGATTTGCTGTCAATCGGAATTGAATACCTCGGATGACGTTCCTCGATCAAAGTCTCAGGTCAATTCGAATGCGCTGGAATTCTCAACAACAGGGGTAGCGCAAATGCTACTGGTAGAATCCTAAACTCAAGGACGCGGTGTCTGTCCGAGTTTGAAGTTTTGACAGGTCGATTCCACCAATCCAATGTTATGAGGTATGAAGTACAGTGCGCGGGTCGAAAACATGCAGGTGCAATTGCGACTTGTACAACGCGAAGGCACAACCTAAACAAATCGTTGCACAGGGAATACGCGACGCAGGTGCCCGCCCAGGAAGAAAAATTAGCAGGTCCTAAGGTTTTAAGACAGGTACCTAAAGTACCTCTTATGTCGTATTATTCAAATGTGTGCTGGCTGGCCTGTCCTTAACCCGTCTAGGAGAATCGAAATAATGTTGTCGACTGCAGGTGATTGTCGGGGAAAAAAGCAAGAGGAAATCGGTCGTTTTGTTCAAAAGTCGGGATTAAAGGTAACGTAAGGTAACGATGGTAGTAGGTATTAACAATTGATTAAACAGAACAAGGTCCCTACAAGAAGGAAAAAGGAGAAATAAAAAGGTGTTGCAGGTGATTTAATTTCGGGTTAAGAAAATGAGAAAAATTCAGGTGATACAATTAGAAGAGTGTAGAGCGGATGAGCGAATGACGAGATAAGTGACTAAATGAGTGTGTAGGTTTGTTATGTAGAATGCAGGTACGGCGCGAGCATGCGGTTGACCGGTGCCGTGTAAGACGACGCGTCCTGCTCAAGAAGAAACAATGAGCTCCAAACGGGATCCGGAGGCTGAGAATTTGGAGACTTGCAAAATCCGTCTAGGAAACGGTCGGATTCCTAAATTGGCTAAGAGCTGTCTCACAAATAATAAGAACGGACCCGGACGGAAAGAAGGGAGGCCGGGAGAAATAACAGAGGGAAGGGAGGGAAAGGGGGGACAAGAGTCAACAAAGATGCCGATGTTGAAGATAGGAAGAACGGAAAATCTGTATTAAACAATTGAATAGCTTGTGGATTTGCGGCAACAACCTAAAGTGTGGATGAGCTACGGTAGGGATCAATGCAATATCCCGTAGACAGTGTGAAAATCTGAAGTATTAGCTTCTAACACGTGGCGGGCCGTTAGTGCTTAAAGTGCGCTTGTCTACTGTATGTTCGGCTGACACTTCCAATAATACATATATGTACCTGAATGCTTCAGGTACCGATGCAGTACAAATAATCCTTATTGCCAACTCAAATTCTCCCATCTGCACCTAACAACATTCAACTTAGAAGGTACCTATGTAGGAATCAATATTTCTAATCCTCTAGCCGTAAAAGATCAATCTGTGCTTTGCTAAATTATTAGCATATCAAGGTAGAATCCGGTAAAGCTCGATCTTAAAACACGTCATACAACTTGCCGGCAGCCTAGGTATCTACTGGATCGAAGCAGGAAACCATTGGATCACAGGAAATTATTGTGTTACGCGTGTTACGCATGAAGCATTGAGGAGAAACCCAATCTTAGAGCTCCCCACTAGCTGAGGGGTACCCTGCTAATTTTAACTCCCGCTAGTCGAAACAATACAAGGCTGAGACCTGAAGAGACAACTATTGGGTACATTACGGTTGCACTGTATAGAAGAACCTCTCGGCCAATAAGCCCTAGCTTAGGTACCTATGCTGTACCTGGAACATACGCTAAATCTTGATGATTGCTGTTGATAGCCCGTATGATAAGGCTCAGTGTTTCTAGAAGCTTTTGATTAGAAAACAATACTACCATTTACAAAGCTACATGACACAAAACTTACCCATTTCCTCAATATCAACCAAATCAACATCCAACCCTCGTTGCTGCATTATAAAATCAATTCAATACAAACCCCCAGAAATAATATTATATAATGGCCGACGACAGTACGAGTATTTCAGCAGCGACAGACACTCCTATCGCTCCAGTTGCCATCTTCAAAAAAAGAGGCGCAAAGGGGAAAGCCAATATCCGAAAACGACCAGCGACACCGCCGCCTGCCGACAGCGACAGTGACGATTACACATCATCCGAAGACGAATCGGGACAACGGGTGAAGCGACGCAAGAAGAATACCGCTGTAGTGACAGCTTCATCCAAGGATAACGTAACACGAACCGACCGAAATCACGGCGCCACCGTCTTCGAAGCCGATCGTAGCGTGCCTATCACAAGCACGAATGATGCTACAAAACAGACAAATTGGTTTGATGAGGACACAAACCTGCTAGGAAAGACGCGACCTCTTCCCAAATCCAAAGATGAAGCAGCAACCCCTTCCATACAACCAGATGGGACCTACAAAGGTCTAGCCAACCAGACCAAATTCATACAGAAAAATCCGAATGCTCCCAATCGGACGGTCGGGCCTATCAAGGCTGCCACCAACATCAGGACCATCACAGTCACCGACTTCGCGCCTGATGTATGTAAAGATTACAAGCAGACAGGCTTCTGTGGTTTCGGGGATAACTGCAAGTTCCTGCATGCTCGTGAGGACTACAAACAAGGCTGGCAGCTGGATAAGGAGTGGGAAAACGTAAACAAGGGGAAGAAAAATCTGGGCGGGAAGGTGATGGCCAGCGCCAATCGCGGCGCCAATGCCGACGAAGGTGACGTTGACGCAGCCGAAGAAGCTTTGCTAGAGAAGATACCGTTCGCCTGTATCATCTGCAAGGGGCCGTATAAAGAGCCCATTGTGACTAGATGTCAACACTACTTTTGCTTGCCGTGCGCATTACAGAGGTATAGGAAAGATCCGAGCTGTGCTGCCTGCGGCGCGGGTACGGGAGGTGTTTTCAATACTGCGAAGACACTGGCTAAATTATTAGAGAAGAAAAAGGAGCGCCAAGCGAAGAAGCGACAGAAAGCCATTGAAGCAGGGGAAGACGTATCTGACGAGGAAGAGGCGCCGGAGAAATGATTAGTTAGAGTTCCATGACAAGATCAATACAAGATACCCTTGAAGTCACTCAAAGCTAAGATATTGGCAAGCTAAGGCCATAGTATCCAAATAGTCAAGATATCTAACCTGAGGCTACTACCTCTGGTAATAGATATTGCCTTCAATGTTTAAGTGGCTGAGAACCTTGGCGCTTAGCTTGGATACTATACAGATGAGCAAGTAGTGCCTCAAGTACCGCCCATCCCTTACTTCGCAGCTCAGTACTATATGCTAGATATTGATATACCTCTTCAAACTAAGCTAATGCTTGAGCAATCACTTAAAAGGACATGTAGATATATCAGTTGAATTACTCCTACGGAAATCTATAATTTACCCAAAGTACTTTTTGGGTGGCCTATATCCAGTTGTGTGCCATGTAGGTATGTATTTCTTATTAGGCCAGTTTTAACATCTTAAACGCGCAGGTAAAAACACTAAAATGTAGGACGTAATTAGAGCCAAGCTCTCGTCATATTCCCGTTGCCATACTGGTGATGCTAACTTTGGTGTTAAACGTGATCTTGGATATCACTCCCTCTAGGTAACTCTCTATTTTCACCCCTTACCTACGATATCCCCTGATTGTCAGTATTAGTGATGTTAAGTTGAAGTCCACGTCAAGCATTCGAAAACCTAAATCGCTGGTCAGGATATGAGGCATAGTATACTTTGAACGTGCATTCAATAACTATGACAACTCAAGTTTCATTTTGTACTCGCCCCTAATTAATCGAATATATCGAAGTAGGAAATCCGTACCAAGTCAATTTACTATGCGAAACATGTTAATAGGCAACTATCTACCTAGAAGATAAGAGAAAAATGTGTAACGATATTTAACAGATTTATACGCTCTTCGTGACCTCTTCACTCCAAAGCCAAAACCATCAAGCAAGAAGCAAGGAAATAACTTTGACATTGCCTGAAGAGTTATGAACCTTCTATAAGCTCACTACTCCAAACCCTCAGGTGATCCCAAGGTAAATCTTAAAGCAAGGTTTACATTCAGGTAGTTATATTTTCCGTATTCGAAGTTAGAACGATAAAAGCAGCTTAGGGGTCAAGGGCGCGCAATAATACCATCATAAAGAATTCGTAACAACTATACTAGGAAGTTAAATGGTTACCCAGGTAGGTAACCCGATGTCTAGGAGGTAGATATTGCGTTGTCAAATATATTTCCTATTATATACTCCCATCACGCGTACTTTATACCTAACTATATACTGGAAGCCGAGCTCATTTCATCTCACTTGGGTATCCTTCTCTACCTAACAGCAGGACCTTTTTATCACTCAATAAAACATGTACCTAATTAGAATCCGACCCTAATTACATTTCAAGAGCTGTACTAGGCAGACTGACTATATTAACTAGGTGACCACCTGGGTACCTACCTATCTATAAGGTGATCTTTCAATATATGTACCAGGTAATATAGCTCGAACTCATAACCTTAGTGTCACGAGGTGGAACCAAACAGCATGGAAACAACTTCGTTGTTCCGCGAGGAACTCTAACCTATCTGGCTCGAACTCACAACCTTAGGGAACACTGTTGAGCATGCGTAGATCTTAGCACTTTCTCGGATAACTGGTCGTATCTATCGAGGCCAATATAATCGCTACTAAGGTCAGAAGCCCTCCGGTAACGGCATTCTAAGGATACAAATGATATGCTGTATTCGCGGGGAAATGGTGTCGGGGTTTAAAAATCTACTCCGATTCCGTTACGAAGATCACAAGATCCGATCGCCGTCATAACTACGGAGGATAGCTTTTGTGTTAATATCCGTGTTTAAACATATGACGCGATCTAATCCTTCGTCAGATGCTCGATAAAGCGGAGGTCATCACTTTACTTGATACACATTAGTTAACTATACGAAGTAGTAGTTATCGGAGTTCTTCGAGTTGTGTGATTACTTAATGGCTAAGCCTCTACGGTGGTTAATAGTCTTTCGACTTTGGGTTGAATGGTAAAGTCGTGACTAGTCTAAGACTTTAAGTATTAACTTAACTACCTCTTATTCAGCTTTTAATATTAGCCTAACATACTGCCTTAAACTTACCGTAAGATATCTGTGCTAGTTAGTTATTAGACTTCATTATGTTACGTGTATACCGACTACCATTAGATACAATGGGGAGCATCTATTCTGCATGAACGGAATAAGATCTAATCAAGACAATGCTAAAGAGGGTGTATGAAAACAGGGTTCAGATCAAGTTGTTTACCTATGGTTATTGCATATGAAAGCAATATATTGATAATTCTTCACTTAGTGGTTGGAATGGTGTACATAGTCTTGTCATAACGCGAACTTCGGCTTACATAGCGAATGTCGGCCTTGACGCGAATCTCGCTTAGTGGGCCTGCAACATGGCGTAGGCGGCGACAGCGGAAGGTCAGAACATTGCCGGGCGGCCGAGGGATGCGAAGCGTCCCATAGCGAGTGGCTGTGCGCTGTATGAAATGCGAGGTTCGGGTTCTCACGACTAAATCGCTGCTCTGCTATTGGTGATGTATGTGGAAATTGACCGGGTTTGGGTTGGAAGAAGCGTAACACGCCTCTGTATTATAAGAATAAGTAATGAGCCGTATACCTTATCACCCCTTTATTTGTCAACTCTATCTTATATCTGTTTTATCCAACTACGCAAGTGATATCCAATACTCTATACCCTTCATCTTTATCCCTGAAATATACCTAATTAAGTCAGAAGCTTTCCAAAATGTCAGCCGTAGTCAATAATCAGTTCAATGATGCCGAGGGGGCATCGACACCTCTATGCAATATTATTACCCCAGTAGGCATGCTCGGCTATGGCCTTAATGAGGAAGAGAACGCTGTCGCCTTAAGACATCTTCTCGCGACGGGTATTCCGACCGCTCTAATTTTAGACTCCGGCTCGACCGATAGTGGTCCGGACAGGCTTGCCCAGAAACAAATGGGCTGCCCCCGAACAGCTTACCTTCGGGACCTTAGGAAGCTGCTCAAGTTAGTCCATGAGTTCCGGGTTCCTCTGATTTTCAGCTCGGCGGGAGGAGACGGAATCGACGAACACGTCCGAGAGATTGTGAAGGTTATCGAAGAAATTGCTGCCGAGAAGGGAAATGAGGACTATTCCTTGAAGACCGTGGCCATATTTTCCAATATCGAGAAGGAGACGGTCCGGGAACGCCTCAGGGCAGGACGCGTGCGTGGATGCGGCCCGTGTGTTCCGGACTTAACCGAAGAGGATATCGATGAGTCGTCGGTGGTTGTCGCGCAGATGGGTCCCGAGCCGTTTATCGACGCGATGAAGGCGAATCCGGACTTTAATGTTATAGTCGGCGGTCGTGCCTACGACCCAGCCCCGTACGTCGCCTATTGCGCTTATTTGGCCGGATTAGATACGAACGACGTGAACTCACCTGTGGTCCAACGCCAGATGGGTGGATTCACGCACATGGGCAAGATTCTAGAGTGCGGAGGGACGTGTGCTATACCAAAGTCACACGGAGCTATCGCAACAGTATATAGGGACGGAGGTTTTACCATCTCGCCTTTATCGCCGGCGGCTCGCTGCACCCCGGTGTCAGTGGCCGCACACACGATGTACGAGAAATCGCGCCCTGATATTTTACACGGCCCGGGTGGATATTTCGATCTAAACTCCGCGACCTACGAACAGCTACCCGATCAGAGGACGATCAAAGTCCGTGGCAGCAAGTTCCATTTCTCCAAAGAGAGCGGTCCGTATCAAGTGAAATTAGAGGCCGCCAGTATCATTGGGTACCGATCACTGTTCTTGGGTAGCTTCCGAGACCGTAAGTCCACTGAATGATTCCGCATACTTCGTCTCATTTGCTAATACTGAAGCAGCAATTCTTATCAGCGAGCTCAATGCATTACTCAAGCTCGTCAAACGCTATGCTGTTGAACAGCACAGCCATGTGACTGAGAAGTGGGAATTTGATTTCCATATCTACGGAAAACCAGAGGAAGGCGTAGAGAATGAATCTCCTGAGGTATTCCTCATTGGTGAGGCACTGGCTCCTACGCAAGAATTAGCAACCAGTATTGCAGCTACCGCTAGAATAGGTGTCATTGTAAGTTAAATTGCTATCCGTATCTCAGGTAGCCAGTTGTTAACTTCTTTTAGCATGGAAGTTATCCAGGACAGAAGGCCACTTCGGGAAACTTCGCGTTTGGTATTGGTGGCAAGTCCGTTATCGAGTTGGGCCCATGCTCGCGATTTACCATGTACCACCTCATGGATCTTGAAGAAGGCGAGGAGGGTTTATTACTAGAAGATAGTATCTCGACCCCTGCTACCAATGGTGTGAACGGCAACGGAACCCACAAGCAACGAAAGCCTCTGTTTACCCAGTCTGCTTCTTTAATCGGCAATGGAGATAGACCATCGTCAAAAGCTCCTATCTCGACTACTAACGGCTCTGCAAATGGTGCCAAGCAAAACGGCGAGGAGGGCTTCGCAACGGCTAAACTTGTTAATGGTTCAAAATCAAATGGACATGCCAAGCCTACTAAACTTGGGGACTTAGCCCAAGTTGTAAGGTCCAAGAACTCGGGTCCGTATGAGATCACCTTCGACCTCATATTCGAGTCCCGGGAAACTTATCTTAAGGTCAAAGAATCAGGCCTTCTGTCTGTTAAAACGGTAGCCGACGTCTTTAAGCTGCCAGAGAGCGACATATTGTGGTGTGGATTCTTCGACCCGGCCCAGGCGTTTAAAGCCACAATCCCCCGTATTCGGGCTGGCAAGCGTATGCCGGGTGGAGGATTCATGGAGAATGACGTTCACGGATCTCAGCAACATCTTCCACTTGTAAACATGAAGTTGCCGGAAGAACTACTTGCTTCCCTTCCTAAGGCTTAGTATAGAGGGGGTGCTGGTACTATTGTATTATATTTTGTATCTATGGATGGGTATAGGTAGGTAGTTTATGACCATTATGTTCAAAGTTATTATATCTAAATCTTTACGTGATGCCTTTATGTACAACTATTACCCCGCTGTAACCAACTGCTATAACCCATTTCCTGGATGGAACTGTGATGTGTCAGTAGGAAGATTGAAAATATCCCACGAAGGGTCGCCCCAAAACATATTAGCGAAGGCAAGATCCGATGACCAGGGCTCCTCAACCTGAGGATTAGTAGCGAAAACATCTGTTTGTGGGATATTATTCTCGTTAGGTGAAGCTTCTGCAGTAACTGCGATCTCGGGTATGGGAGGATTTAGAGGAAAGCCGCGTAGTTCGCGGGCTGTGTCGATTGCGTCTAGTACTATAGATACCCCCATTCGATCCGGAAGATTGGGCTTGTCAGTATCGTTAGAAACGGGTGCTTGCTTGCAGAGGGTTTCGAATAGACTAGCAGCCCTGTCGTATTCATCTCGATGACGTGTAGCAAGTGTTTTGAATATTGTGTGAGCCATGATGACATGGTTTGCTGCTAACTGTTGTTCTTCGGCGTTGGCATTATTGTTGAGACTGAAATATCGGAGGAGAAATATAGTCGCAAAAGCCAGACCCCTATAGTAATCTTTGGGTAGCGTCCTCTCGCGCTGCGCCGTCGTCAATGTTTGATTCTTATCTAGCCTCTCATGGAACCGCGAGTTTGCTAGGTGAATGATGCGAAGAGCGGTGGCAAGCCCTAATTTAAGTAGTATTTCCTTCGCACCGGTACCTGATCGGGGGGCCCGGGTTATCACCAAAGTGTAAATGTGCATTTTCACGACCAGAACAGCAAGGTCAGTCATGCTTGTCCATCCATCAGGGAAAGTTATTTTTAATGTATCTAGCTCGCCGTCAAGAAGCTGAATGACCGAAGAATCGACTACGCCGTCGTTCGCATTATGTACAAGGACATTGGTAAACCCCGCTAAAGTGAGGAATACTCTAAGCTGAACAGCGAACTCGCGAGGAAGCGTATTTTCACTGAGAGTTGCACGAATAGCAGAAAGGTCGGAAGGAGTATTGATCATCGGGGGAAGGCCGAGATGCATACTAAGACTAAAAGAAAATCAGTTAGCTGATGGATTTTATGCGACATTGAACAACTTACGATGTGCTAACGTAGAAGCAACCCAACCATGTGTTTGTTCTCTCGCGGGCGCTTCCACCTAAGGGACCAACGCTATGTAGCGAAGGAATGACCCCCGATCTTGGGCTCGATCTATGAAGACTCATATAGAGGGCAGCATTCACAGCAATCCCACAGTATAGCCAGCTTGGATCATCCCTTTGATGAGGTACTGGCAACGGCCACATGCAAAGAATCAAAAGCGCTTGGATCTTGCTTAGCGGCAGTGGAGCCCGCAGAATCTCCTCCCTGAGCATTCTCATGTACGGCTCATGGAGTCGATCGAATACAGTCTCATCCGAGACTGTGGGTAAACGTAGTGAGACGACGATAATTATCGTCCAGAATAAGAACGGGTGAGAATGATGAATAGTTTTGAGCGACACCGGTCCTAGTATCGGGAGATTTGGGAGGAAATAAGTAGTAAAACTTGGAATATCTGTTAATTTGGATTCACGTATTTGACAGCAAAAATACTTACTGCTTGAATGTTGTGATAACTGTTTGGCTGTCAATTATAACACCACCAAGATCGAAAGATTCTAAGCCCATCAGCTCGAAGTCGTCCATCAAAATAGTAACGGACGGCTGCGATGCATTGGTGGATGAATCTTGCGATCGTGTAGTATCCGGATCTGGGCTCGCAGTAGAACCGGCGCGCGCTTCTGATATTCTCTGGTCTCGGAGCTCTCGAAGCTCTTTTGACATGGCCTCAAGCCGTCTATTCGCCGTCATTAGCAACCACTCAAGGCAAATCCTGACGCAGATATTTCGGCGCCAAGGAGCCTGAAGACATACTTTCTAGCTGGCGTTCTCCGAAAGGACGGATCAACCGTACAAGTAAGATTTCTTGCCTGACATCTTGTACAAGGATTTGGAAACCTATCCTTGGAGTCGCATCGAAGCTGTCTCAACGTTAGTTGGGTATATCCTAACATGCGAGGATGGGGTTTACGCACCTTTGATTGCTTGCATTCTGTGCATGTCTTGACGGGACGCACGCCTGGCCAACTTGGTGCGCTTGAGGCCATTGAGATTGGCATTTGATCTCGCGTGATGCTTTTTAGTGACTAAATTCGGTCTTGCAAAAGCCTAAATTCGCATCTGTATGCTAGATAAAGTAGGTACCCATGCAGAAGCAAGTAATCATCTAATCATCTAATCATCTAGAGATGGCCGACGGTAGTTGGGCGATTGGAGATTGATAGGGGGGAATATTAATAAGATATGAAAAAAGAAAGATGTCGACTATCTTGCCAAGCGTGATTCACATCGAATTTGATTCGCTACATACTATCCCTAAACCCATCCTGCCAAACGGCGCGGGCTTTTAGTTTACGTACGGATCCGTACCTAGGTATTTAATTCGGTTTGGTAGTAGATATACACTACCTACTGGGTAGACTGGTAGAGTAGCATAGTGAAGGGGGAATGGAACGCCCCTGTGCGTTGCGTTTCCAGAAGTTCTGAATAGTCTCTGATAACCGTGGGGTTCAAGAGTATAGGTCAACAATACGACGAGTTGAGGCGGAGCATTCTTAGATTCAGGAGACTAGGGGGACATTGCATAAAGTCCCATATGTAGTCCCATAATCACGACTTTATGTGGCACGGAGTATTCCGAAAACCCCGGTTCAAAGAATCCTTATAAAATCAGCCCTATAAGCCATACTATGTATTTAAATGACGCGTCGCCGGGACTTCTAAAAACACTGCCCCCCTACACTACCAGACGACCTAGTGTAAGCGTTCCCACAGCGAGCTGCCGAGGCTTTACCACATGGAGATCTGCTAACTTAGCGGCATCTGAAATTAGATCATTCTCGTCTTGTTCTCGTGCTAGTCTCACCCCTCTCATTAAACGGCCGCGAGAGTTTCGGTATGCTCTGTGCTATATGCGTCAATTTTGATGTGAGAGAACTATTGGTGAAAGCTGCTGCTCAGCCACCCAAAGGCTTTAATGATCCCACTGCGCCAGATACGTTAGAATGTCTCCGGCCGGCAATCCCTCACTTTTTCGAACACCATCCCAACTTGCTTTCGTTACAGTCCTCGATCGATGAATGTGATCTCTGCGCTTGCATATGGCAGTCGTATGCTAGTAACGCCCACCCTAACGAACTTGTTCACGAGGAGTTACTTAAGGGCACAAACGCGCGGGAGATATTTATAGGGACGACCGCCTGGGACGCTACTCTTAACGGGTTACCTCATGTTGCTGTCGTTCAAAACGGGGAAAGGGGAGCCATACGCACTCTGGCCTCATTCGAGGTATGCGCCCTAAGAGGTAAGTCACGAATTTGTTCTGATGGTATAGTAATGAATAAACAAAGTCGTAGGGCATGAGCCATTGGATCACCAAGATCTTCTTGCTAGGTCCATATATAGCAATTCGGGATCGCAAGAGTGTTTGCAACTTGCAGCTAGATTGTTAGGCGACTGCATTAATAAACACAAGTCATGTTCTTCTCAATATCCGACTTCTTCTAAACTTCCGACGAGAATTATCGACACAGAGGGAGTGAATCCGAAGCTCGTTGATGGTGGCGGGCAATGTAGAATCTTTGCGGCATTGTCATATTGTTGGGGCGGTGATTCTAGTTTCATACTTACGGTAGCAACTGAACGATTATTTCGCGAGGGCCGGCCAATTGACGAGTTTCCCCCCACCATCCGTGATGCCATCAAAATCACCAAAGCCCTCGATATCCGTTACATCTGGATCGATGCGTTATGCATTATTCAAGACTCAGATGAGGATTGGGCCCAGGAGGCTAGTCAGATGCGCGAAGTTTACAGAGGAGCAGTGGTCACGATAGCGGCAGCATGTGCTTCCAAAACTAGCGAAGGGATCTTCCGAGAAAGAGTAGCGTCGAGTCGCCCTAGGTGTTGGCTTGACTGGAGGAACGGAGATAAGAATCCATCTAAAGTATTCCTACGCCTAGGGTCTGAACTATGGGATGAAAGGATGCATCAGAGCATTCTGAACACGAGAGGTTGGGTTTTGCAAGAAACCCTCTTAGCACCTCGAACGTTATGGTTCGGTCAACAGCAGTTGTGTTTTGAGTGTCCGAAAGGGAGTGTGGATGAAGCAGGGCGGGTCATTAGGATAATGGAGATATATCGCAGTAAAGAATTCATTCAGTCACTCCGTCAGGAGATAATTCCTGGTTGGAGGAGACAGTTGATCGCTCTTCTTCGAGGGATGCATATTCCCCCGGCTACCACAATTCCATGGCTATCACTAAAAAATATCCTCCAGGCACGAGATCTGGAAACTGTACGTCATAGAGCCATTGTCTGGAAACCATTCACATTGCAAGGCTACTTTAAGCCACCTGCGGATAGTCTCGGGATGTCACATTTCAATTTTTGGCTCACGATCATTGAGAATTATTCATCTAGGCAGCTCACCAAGCCAACTGACACTCTTCCTGCATTATCGGGACTCGCAAAGGAATTCCACCAAGCTACGGGTGACACGTACGTTGCTGGACTTTGGAAGATGGATATAATACAAGGCCTCACCTGGGTAAGTAAGTTATAGACCTAAAAATGCCCCCTCGTTTAACGGATTCGTCGTTGTACTATACTACCCTCGAGTACCTAAGATAATTTGCTCTCGGTGTAGACGCGCAGGAATTATTCGAAGACTAATATTGGAATGTAATAGACAAGGGCCTCACTTAGAAAGAAGCTACCCAGTGGCTATGTCGAAGACGAACCAACATTACTTGACCAATATCTTGCTCCATCATGGAATTGGGCAAGTATATTGGGCCGAAAAGTTTTATTTAAGATAAATTACCCCACAACGGCCATACCTTACAACAGCCATAAGGTTTTTAAAAACGCGTTCGATTTATTTATTAATTTAAATTTATTTATAAAAAAACTTTCCCATAATTTAATTTTAAATTTAATTATATTATTTTATTACTTAAATTTTCTTTTTTTTTATAATATATAACTTTTAATTTAATTCCGTATAATTACCGTTATATATAACGTTAAAAATAAATAATTAATTTAAAACGCATTATAACATTATTAAATTAATCACATTTATATATAACATCGTATTAAAAATATTTAAATAAAAAGAAATTATAATAAAATTTATTAAAAATTATTAAAAACTTAAAAAAATTATTTAACCCATTAAATTATTATATAAAATATATTAAATTATACATTATTATATTTAAAATTTAAATTATTTATTTAACGTTTACTTTTTTATAATAATATACATATATTATTCGAAAAAAATTAATACATTAATTTTTTACATTATTATTTAAAAATAAATAATATAAAAAATTATATAATAAATTATAAACGTTTAAATAACGTTATAATTAAATCATTAAATAAATTATTTAATTAATTAAATTTATTAAAAATTATTAATATACCTTTTATATTATATATAAACGTTAATAAATTTAAATTATAAAAAAATATTAAAAATAATATTTTAATATTTAAAAAAATTTATTATAAATATATATTATTTAAAAATTTTTTAAAATAAAAATAAATTATTATTTTAATAATTATTATAATTATTAATAAAATGTTATTATTATTAATAATTTTTAATAATGTTAATATATAATAATAATAATTTTTTAATATAAATAATTAATTATATAAATTTTAATATTTTATTATATTTTTTAACGGTTAAATAAATAAAAAAATCGTTTTTAAATAATTTAAAAAAGTTTATTTATTTTATATTAAATTTATAAATTTTAATTAATAAAAGTTTTTTATATTAAATAATTATAATAATTATATAAATAATAAATTTATATAAAAATATTTAATTTATAAAATTTATATTTTATTTTTTTTAATTTATATATTTTATATATTTTAACTTTTTAATATAAATATATTTATTATTTTTAAACGTTTTTTTAAATTCCGTTTATAAATATATTTATTTAATTAATTTTTATAAAATATAAATAAAAAAATTTTTTTTTAATTATATCGGTGGACAAGGTTTAACGTTAAAACTTTTAAGGTTAAAAATAAGTATGCCGTAACAATAAAGGAAAAAAGAGTTTATTAATCATATATATTTTTTAAGATTTAAGTGCGTTGTCTCCGAAAGAGACAACGCTTATATGTAAGCGTATATAAGTTACGTAAGTTACCACATGACTAGCACGTGTCCGGTGCGCAGCTAGCGCACAACTGCGCTCCTAACAAATTATTTATAAAAACATAATAATTAATAATATTATTAAAATATATTTTTATAAATTAAAAATATTTAAAATTATAATTAATATTATTAACGTAATTGTTAAAAAATTTATATTTAATATAAAATAAAAGTTTTAATATTATTATTTTATTATTTATTATTTTTAAATTTATTAATTTTATAATTATAATATTTAAAATTAATTTTAATATATTTAAATTATTATAAAAATTAAAAGTTATATAATTAAAATTTAATTTATTTAATTTAATTTTTATTACTTTTATTATATAACTTTTATTTTATAAATTCGATAAAACCTTTAATATAAAAATTAATAAATTTATTACCGTTAAATTTTAAATTAAATAATTATAAATTACATTAAAAAAAGTAAAATTTAAAAAACGTTATAAAATTATTTTAAACTTAAATTAAATTTTTATACATATAAAAGATATAAAAAAAATTAAAATAAAATTAAAGTTATGTTTAATAAAAAAATTAATTAATATATTAATAAATATAATTTTAATATAATAAAAAACTATTTAAAATAATTAAAAATTTACGTAAAAATATATTTAAATTATATTAATAAATTTTAAATTAAAATATAAAAATAATGGTAAAAAAATAAATAAATAAATATAAATAAGTTAATTAATAATAGTTTTAAAATTGTTATAATTGTTATGAAATATAACCGTTATAAGATGATTTATCTTATAGCTAATACTCAATTCGATCATGTCAAACGCTTCGCCGAAGTTATAGATGTCAATATCTAGCTTGCTACTCATGATCCCTTTGGTGCCGTAAAGGGGGGAAGTATCACTCTTCGTGCTCCTTTTCTAGAGCTAGACTCTCAGGACTTACTCAGCGCTCCTCATCCACCATCGCCGTATCCAAAGTTATTGGCAAGAATTTCCGACGTGTTGCAAGCTGCAGTAAGTAGTGAATACGGACAAAAGCATAGAGCCTATATAGGGCAAAAGTTTGCAATTTTAAAGCTGATCCAGTGGCGGCGTGCCCTCCGGACCACAGAGCGCGCATGCTTCTTAATACTAGAAAGCGTTGAAGGCAGCAATGATTGGAGGCGGATAGAGCGCCTCCACCTTACTGCTAGGGAAACCGTGCTTTGGGATAGTAAGGAGGTAATCGATTCGCTGGCCATCCTCGCGGAGATTAAGCATGTTTTGAAAAGGCGTGTCGTGAGGATCATCTGAGGCTAGGACACTTGTCACTATTCAACTAGCATCGAGTGCAGACCATGATGGTGATGTTGGGAACTCCGGCGGATAACACCGAAAAGTAAAAATGGCAACATGAAAGTCACTATAGGTGTAATAATAGAATAATACCCTTGAAATGAAAATTTCTCGTCTTCCGTGCGTATTCTCACCATTCCTCTTGAACGGGACCGTCCATTACTATACCATGCTTCGACACCCAGGTAGGTTAGGTACCTAAATATTAATAGAGTATCGGCTTAATATAATGTCTTTAGGGATTTCACACGGGAATTGACACTTAATCTCTAAATTGGATAGAACTATGAATTGAATAACTGTGAGGTGCCTATATAAATCGTAGGGTTGCTATGGTTATATACGTTACATTATGTACCCCTATACGTGACCTACGGTCACGTACCATCCAAACATTCAAAGACATCTGGAGTGTCTGTAAAAAAACAATATTCTCAGTTTCAGTTAATAATAAATGAATATTATCGAACACATCATGTACAGGGCATTTTGATTTGATTTGGTTTTCTTTTTCTTTCTTTTTTTCCAGTTCCAATTAGTTAACATTCGGATACCTATCTCTAGGTTCTTTTCTCAGGTTTTTCTTTTTTTTTTTTTTTCAAGCGATCGTCGAGGGAGAAACCTCTAAGGGAGCATCACCTCTTATTGACTCGGCGAAGGGTGAACGTTTCCGCATCGACGGCCCCTTGTAGTAGATGACGAATGTAGCGACTACAAGAATCAATCCGACACCGGCAAGTACGGTATTAGCTACCTGAAGACCGTACTGAAAATCAAACGCGTCGTAATATGGGGCTGCAGCCCATGTCAACACTCCAGCTAAGAAGTCACGAGCAAAGCCGTTGCCCCCCGTTGCTGAGGCAGAGTAAGGGCCGTACGCTTTCACCATATAGTCGATAGTAGTCATGTAGATAGTGTAGTTAGCGATGCCGATAAGGAGGCACCCAATCATCGGGGCAATCCAATGTACCGTACGCGTGCTTGTCCAAGCGAATATCAGTAATCCAATGGGGAGAAGTGGTGCGGTGAAGAGAAGCCACCATAATCGTGATTCGTATTGAGCATGCTCGCTGAGAGGATTCTTCACCCGTAGCGCCCGGTTACGGTATATGGATGGAATGTATAGTAGATACGCCAAGACATAGGCAAGTCCAAACGGGATAAAAGCCTAGCGGCAGGATTAGCAAATATACCACGATCTAACATGACTGGTAATATGACCTACGAGCCCTATCTGGATGTCAGTGAAGTCCCACCGCTCGAATACGAGACGGAGGGACTGAATTTGCATAAATATTAGGGCATCGCTAAACCCGGACAGCAAAGATAGCACCAAGACAATTTTTTCCTTGTAGAGCATCTGAAAAGGACGGGTCCATATGGCAAAAACTTCCTTTGGGATCAAATAGTCTGTGAACGGTTTTAACTCGAAGGGTCCGAAGACGTTGCTACTTTCGCCGGTCGCTTCGAATTTATCTTTCCTCATTTTCTTCGCGTGCCTATTAACTAGAATGGCGGAACGAGTCTCTGGGACGTATGCTAAATGCAGTATTTGAACAAATAATCCGAAGAAGAGCTGGATCCAGATCGTCCACGTCCAATAGAGGTTTTGCTCGATGAATCCGCCGATGATAGGTCCGATGATGGAGCCACCTACAGAAGAGAGGACAATAAATGCTAGCGGGAGTTCTTGCTCATCAGCGATAAACATGTCTGCAACCACTCCCAGCGTAACACTGCCACCGGCGGAGAAAAGGCCTCCAAACGCACGCCCGATTAGAATGCCAATAAATGACCTATGAATATTGGCAAAACCAACAGGAAGGCAACAGAGATTGACCATAAGAAGCGAATATTGAAGAACCGGTTTTCTTCCGAATTCCTCGGACCATGGCGCCCAGCTATGAAAAGTTTAGCATATAAGAGGTTGAAATGGATAATGCATTGGTGAAGCTTACAGCTCACATCCAAATGCATATAGGACAAGAAACACGGCGGCGCCGCTAACTGCAGCTTGGCTGCTAACACCAAGGTCCTTGACAATGCCACTCTGTCCATTCGCGTATAAGGAAGCGTTCAAGTTCACTAAAGAGTCAAAATTAGGATCCGCGTTTCAAGAAGGCTATAATTTGAAATGTGGTATTAGGCAAGATCGAAGAAGGCGTATAGAAATTCGGAAGAGGGAAAGTATGAATGTATGTCTACGTAAAAATAAATAGAAGCCTACTGGAAATTTGGACGAGGAAGATAATAGTAAGTGTCCCCCATTTTTTCCATTTCGGCCATGCATAAGCCAGGGCTTCCGGACAGTCATTTTCCGTAAGGATACTAGGACCCGAGCCAGCTTGTACTAATCCAACTTCGTCGTGTGATATAGTGTGCTTAGGCATAGTTCCCCGCGATTTTGTAGATTGTACCGAGACGCTCTCGCCAGCGCTGCTATCTTGGACGGGAGAAGCGGGTTGGCTGATCACTTGAGGATCTTCCTCAACCTTATTCTGTGTAACTGCCATAGTGTTATCTAGAATGGAGAGGAAGTCTTAGGAATAAATAAGGCAGGAGAGTGAAGATGGCTAGGTGATTCCACGAAAAAAGATGGTGAATGAGAGTATAGATATAGGCTTTCCATGGCGAGTTGTCTCATCCCATTTAAGATTCACCATACTATCTCAATATAAGAAGATAGGAAACGCCACTTGAGGAGCCGGACCGGAACTAGTCACTGGAATATGGTCTCGTGGACAGGGTATAACTTGCATATCCATTACTCTACGTTGCTCTACGTTTCTAGTAAAACATGGAGCTTTGAGTACTTATCTAACATGTGCCTTATGAAAATTAGGAGAGCCGGTGATATGGTATGACAATAACATGGTATTTTCCCAACTTTTCCCATGTCGGACCTTTGTTGCGGGGAAGCGCTCGGTGATTTAACTAAGTTCATATCTCTTAAGTCTTAATAGTAGTTGGGTACCTACTAAGGGGGTATTGGCCGGGCCACGGGAAAGGTAAATGTGGTAAGAGTAAAACATGGTTCACGAGAGGGCGAATTGTTTACTATTATAAATCGTGGTTATGTTGTGGCTAAATGATTTCCAGTCTGATCATGGAGCTTCTATATGGAAATATCGATTTGCTGGTCTCGTTGGACATCGTGGATTGCTAAAGGAACACATTGCTGATAGGTATCTAAGGTATTAATAGAAAAAGACAAATAGGGGAGTCCGCGATGTTTTATATTTTGCTTAGAAAAGAATGTGAACCGCCGGGTTGAAACCCAAATTCCATCTTTGAAGTTAAAATGGATCACAGGCCATTGGCTTGGGCGGCGGACCCCACGGGGGAGATGAGGGAGCATAGTTAGTTGTATTATGTACCGAATATGCTTTTAAAGGGGATATTTTGATAAGAATTTCCCTAACCAACCTATGTACCTAGGTACCTAATAGAATGTATCGCCACCATCAGCCACATATGAAGCCTCACTCCCTTACTCTCTTATCTGATACTACCTATGTAGATAAGATCTTTGGACCCACTATGATTCAACTTTAAGCTACTGACGCCTCAAATTTCCAATTCGTCGCGACAACTTCATCAACATTAAAACTTCAACTCCTTTTTGTCACAACATGCCGCCTCAAATAAAACAAGACCTGAATCGATCAGGTTGGGAGTCAACCGACTTCCCATCCGTATGCGAAAATTGCCTACCGCCGAACCCATACGTTAAGATGTTGAAAGAGGACTACGGCGCCGAATGCAAGATCTGTACGCGACCTTATACCATCTTCTCTTGGGCTGCCGACCGCGCCCACGGCCGCAAAAAACGCACAAATGTTTGTCTTACATGTGCACGTATGAAAAATTGCTGTCAATGCTGTATGCTCGACCTGCAGTTCGGTCTACCCATCCAACTCCGTGATGCCGCTCTTAAAATGGTTGCGCCTGGACCCCAGAGCGAAGTCAATCGCGAATATTTTGCTCAGAATAACGAGAAGGCCCTTGAAGAAGGGAGGGGTACCGAAGAATATGAGAAGACAGACGAGAAGGCGCGCGAGCTGTTACGACGACTAGCTAACAGCAAGCCGTATTTCAGAAAGGGACGGGCAATTGAGGATGGAAGCGCAACCGAGTCGAAGCCCGCTGGAAGTTCGAGAGGAGGCAGCCCAGCGGTAGGAGCTGGCATTGGTGGACCGGGTCCGATACGTACTCGCGACTCTAGAGCAGCGGTGGCAGCGGGTGCTGGTACAGGTACGAGACCAGGAAGAGGAGGAAGACCGTTCCCCAGTGCATCGCAATTACCACCCGGTCCTAAAGACTGGATGCCTCCTTCCGACAAATCGATTATGAGTCTATTCGTTACTGGTGTCGAAGACGACTTACCCGAGTACAAAATCCGAGACTTTTTTAAGGAACACGGTAAGATCAAATCGTTGATCTGCAGTCATATGTCACACTGCGCATTCATCAACTACGAGACGCGAGAGGCCGCCGAGAAAGCAGCGGAGGCTTGTCAGGGCCGGGCGGTGATTGCAGGCTGCCCGCTTCGAGTGCGCTGGAGCTTACCAAAGGCTATCGGGACGATGAATAAGGAGGAAAGGGCCTCTATGGCTCGCGATGGGCGATCCGCATTTCCAGACCAACGACGAGGAAATGGCGGCCCCAAAGCGATCGGGGCACCACCGTCTCAGGGAGGAGCAAGCCAGGCTGGAACGGCACAGGATATTGATAACTTGGCTATGGTGGCCCCGCCGCCAGGGGCAGCGGACGTCAACTATGCCAGTTTGGCTGGAGACTAAAGAAGAAGGGATGAATTATTGCATGGGCGGCGTTTGAGCATTGCGATTAGGTACAACATGGTTTCAGTAAGATATTTATCATAAGGATGCGCAACCACTTGACAGTGGTTATGATGTTTGTTGGTACACTGGGTATCATGATATAATACAAGACTTCAAGGACGTAGCCTTATTGTCTGTGTCACCTATCGGCACACGTCTTCCCATCGATTTTAACGGTATGACCATTCGGGAGCTTTACTGTATCGTTGTCGCCACGTTCCGTATCCTCATGTATCCGTAGCTCTAGATGTTCTGTTAGGGACATATCTTACCTCGACCAAATCTATATCAAGCTGAAAACGTACTATATATTTCGCCGTCTTTCCTCCCCTGCACTATATTCTGTCGTAAAATGGCGGCAACTTCTTCAGCATGCTTGATGGCGCCCGGTAACTCAGGATCCGTGGACTCTAGCGAGGCATTGACGCGGAAACTTTCACGTATCGAGGCTCGTGCTGCGGTTAGGACTCGTTCATCGCCTAAAAATACAGCGTCAACAACATTAAATACAAGCTAAGTTTGAATTCGTCTAGTTATGCTTACCTTGAAAAGCTACCCTCGCTGCTCGGAGGAGACCTCTATAGGCTTGCAAAGCCATTTTAACGCTAACAACCAACGAATATACTTTATTTAGAAGTAGAAGTATCAAGCCAATAGCACAGAAATCAAATAAGTAGGTATGTAGACTTATTGTATAGCAGTTATGTAGAACAGTAGTATTCCGTACATATAAAGAAGTTTCTGAAGCTTGTGGAATTGATAACTAGAAAAATTGTGGCTTGGTATGTACTTTGTATCCATGTATTACTTAAGCTGTGGCTGTTGAACCCCACTTGCCGTACCCATTATGTATTTTGGTGGCCGATTGCATAACTCGGTACAGGTAGGAATCCCTGTAATGATTTTCCACTGTCCGGATGATAAAAAGTTCTAGATAAGAAAAAAAATAATCAATTCTTTTAACCCCACGAAGGTACCTCACAACTTCTCGTCCCTCAACCCATCGGACGTTTACAGCAACAAGCGATAATGGCTACGTCAACAATAGTAGCACGACCGCTGCCCACCCTACCGGAAGGTTGGTCTGCAGAGAAAGACTTCAAACCAATTGGTTCTATTACTGCATCAACTCAGCGTACTATTGAACCTGTCGGTCCTCATTTCCTTGCCCATGCCCGCCGTGCCCGCCATAAGCGCACATTCTCCGAAGATGACCGAATTCAAGCCCAGGAGAGCGCCAAGAAAATAGAGAAGGACGATGAGAGCGATGTTAGCGAACCTGAGGATCCTTTAATGCTCCAGCGGGAAGCTAAGGACTGGAAGGTAAGGATATTTAAAATATTCGCTAAATATTTACTATTATTCGCAGTTTGCTAACGTCTTTATATAGTCACAAGATCACTACCAAGTACTCGGTCTATCCAAGTACCGATGGAAGGCAACGGAGGAACAGATCAAGCGTGCTCACCGCAAGAAGGTCCTAAAGCACCACCCGGACAAGAAGGCGGCTCAGGGCAGTACTGAGGACGATAACTTCTTCAAGTGTATCCAGAAAGCTACCGAGGTCCTACTTGACCCTGTCAAGCGCCGCCAGTTCGACTCCGTTGACGAGAAGGCCGATGTCGACCCGCCCACTAAGAAGGAGCAGGCAAAGGGCAATTACTACAAGCTCTGGAGTCGCGTCTTCAAGTCCGAGGCCCGCTTCTCCAAGCAGCAACCCGTACCCACCTTCGGCGATGAGAACTCCACCAAGGAAGAAGTCGAGAACTTCTACAACTTCTGGTACAACTTCGACTCGTGGCGCTCGTTCGAATACCTAGACGAGGATGTGCCGGACGACAACGAGAACCGCGACCAGAAGCGCCACATGGAACGTAAGAACGCCAACGCCCGCAAGAAGAAGAAGGCCGAGGACAACGCACGCCTGCGCAAGCTTCTCGACGACTGCTCCGCCAGCGACGAGCGTATCAAGAAGTTCCGCCAGGAAGCCAACGCCGCCAAGAACAAGAAGCGTCTCGACAAGGAAGCCGCCGAGAAGAAGGCCAAGGAAGACGCCCGGCTGAAGAAGGAAGCAGAAGAGAAGGCCGCCAAGGAGGCCGAGGAGAAGGCCAAGACAGAGCGCGAAGCCAACAAGAAGGCTAAGGAGGCCGCCAAAAACGCTGTCAAGAAGAACAAGCGTGTGCTACGTGGTTCCGTCAAGGACGCCAACTACTTCGCCGGTGCTGGTGACGCTAGCCCCGCCCAGATCGACGCCGTGCTTAACGACGTTGAGCTCGTGCAGGGCAAGATAGATCCCGATGAGATCGCAGCTCTGGCTGGCAAACTAAACGGTCTGAAGGTCGCGGACGAGATCAAGGGCGTATGGAGCGAGGAGGTCAAGAGACTAGTCGCTGCTGGCAAGCTAAAGGACGGCGAGGCCAAGGCATTGGTGTAAATAAACTTGTAGCTTATGTATCCGCAAGAGATAATACTTTTAGATCCTCTGGTTCGTCCACACATCGTGCTGTTTCCCAACGTATTCGGCGAGTACCTACCTGTTACTAGGCTGGGTATGATTAGAAGGCTTACACTATGAAGTACCTACGCAGATGGAATACCATTATAGGTGTAACTACCTAGACACAAGGATGACACTTTATATCCGTTAGATAGAAATTGGCTTAGTGCAATGGTAAAGATATATACCCTTTACTCTGAAGACCATATCTCATTTTCTATTTTCATACACTTGTATGAAACGCCAATGTATTACCTAGCTATGTTGAGCCATCACCCCCTACCAGTTAGATCACGATGTAATAAGTAGGTACCTTATTGATTTTTACAACTGGTGGGTTCATAGCCACTCCTCTCTGCTGTTCCCTTTATTTCCTTTCTTATAACTGTAGATTCCTTCCTGTGTTGCGCCAGCCCCTTCTCTGCATAATTGTATAGTTAGTAAAGGATTCAATCGTGTCTAAATAATCGGCATGGACAACCTACCCCTTGGCCAACCTCACGAGGTCTCATAACTGCATCCCCTAAATGACAACCTTCTACCACAACCTGAGGTAATTCTAGCTCCACCATCACCTAATTATTATCATCCTTCGCTCGATCCGTCGTGAAGCTTAATAATTAATTAGAAGGTAGTCATCGATATCGGTTGGGTAATTTGCTGTGAGGGCAATGGATCAAAACCTGGGACAACAATCTCGTCCTTTGCGTTTTTCATTTGGAATATTCCATAGGCTCTAGATTGTAGACGCCAAGACTCCCAGTCCTTCCGTGGCAATGGCCCGTACCAGGCAATCTTGAACTTTTGACCAACGACCCTAATCTGATTTTCGTCTCCGAGTATCTGTGCTAGATCCCTGTTCGAATCTAAGGCCTCGTGGAGAATCGCATTCTCTTTCTCTGTAAGTTCCTCACATATTATGCTAAATACGCCACGATTCTTATCTACGTCTTGATCCGAAAGTTTGCATTGGAATGAGACATCATTATCGTTAAGCCAATCGTCCATCCAGCGATCCCAGTTCCAGCTTTCTACTGGCCCATCATAAAAATCTTCCGATGCTTTATATTTGACGCGTAGTTCCCTAAGTGCAGATGTCTGTGCCGCAGATTTTGTCTGCAAAAGGCGCTTGAAAAGCTGCTGGACAGTCGATATAGTTACGAAAGGGGCGAAAAACTTGCACACAGTGTCGTCTCTCATAGAGACATCAAGAAAAGGATGGCTATATTCCATATAAAGCGGTGGCTCAAGCTGGAAGTGTAACTCTAAAGTATGTAGCTTCGGGAATGAGGCTAGAACGTTCAGTGTGGACGGAGGACACATTGTAGTAGTGTTGCTTATACTTAAGGCCAATTCCTCGAGGTACGGGCAGCTGTCTCGTATACGTTGTAAGTCGCCTGCATCCACCAACAAGCTCGGCCGTGAGGCCAACGATGAATAGCTATATTTCATAGATATGTGGAGTATACGAAGTTTACTTCCATGTCTCGAAACACCTTCCATGCCGATTGTATCGATAGAAGGAACCTTGACGCTTTCTAGCATAGACGGAACCAGTTCGAAAAATTGTTTCGTAGCTGCCAGCTCACCGTTGCGGGGATCCAGGGTTATTTCCTTGAGCGAGGTGAACTTGTGTGGGCATCGTGAGATCAATCCAGTATAACGGGTCTGAAGTCGTCTCATTTGCGACCAGTCGAAACTGTCAGCCCATTCATATTCCTCTCCGTCACTGAAAGGGTAGAAGTCCAGTTTTAGCGTCTCAAGCGCCGGAGGTCGCTCATTATCGATCAACTCCAAATCGCCGTACCGGCTGCCGGTGTAATGGATTATAAAAATTTTGAACTTGAGATGGCGAAGGTGAGGGCATGTAAGAAGAATTACCATGAATGGGTTTGTACACTTGTCCCAAGCCGTAACTTCCCTATCACAATCCGCGCTTATTGAGTATAAATTGAGATTGTTTTGTAATAGCGAGAGTGCGCTCTCTAGCGAAGGATCATTGTCAAAGCTTATGTCTACGTGTAGCCGTATATTGGGTTGACCTTTGAGTGCTTCAATCAAGCGTCTATCGACGAAGTTTCCATTGATGTCGACTTTGACATCTCGGAGCCCTGTCATTTTAGGCAGTGACTTGTATAAATGATGCCATGCTTTATACTCATGCATTCCGGCGAACCAGTCGATTTCGATGCACCGAATTGCACGCCACATATGGTTGCTTTCAATTCTCTTCAATTTCGTATCCAGGTTATAACTCTGGAAGTTACGCGTATGGTATTGACTGTACACCACCGCCTTACAGAAAGTAGGGCTTAATTTGGAAATGGAAGATAAAGTTTCAGGGCTGGATTGTCGAATCAGATCAACAACTTGGGCGATGAGTTCAGGCGGCAAGTCCTGGATGGAAGGCATCTTGCTAACCGAAGAGAAGGAGAACTTCTTGGTTGTCGATATATAAATCTTGCTGGTTGGTATATTTGTTACTGTCCATTAAATGGAAACAGAGCGTTGGCTCCTTGGAGAGTTGTGGCATGTAGATGTAGATGTTGATGATGGTAATGTTAGTATGAACAATGTAGGCAAAGTTGTAAAATGGCTACCTACCTAAGTTATGAGATAGTCGTACCTACCTACCTCAAGTGCCTACCCAAGGTAAGCACGTAAATCGGAAGGCATAATGTACCAGGTAGGAATTGAACGTACGTTTAGAAGTACCTAGCTGTAGACCGGGAAGCTTGATTAACTGGCAACTGCCTTCAAGTTACTACCTTACCGTCTTGGGGGGGGTTTACTAAACGGTATATATTCAGCTCAATATTTTGAGCCATACATATACCGCTTAATATAATAAGGGCTTAAATTTATTTACGTATCCCTACTTTAACGGCTCATTTAATTGAATGGTATATATACGGCTCCCCCGCTGCACGTATTAATTTTTCGAAACGTATATGGGTTTGAGCCATATCTATACCGCTTAATTCAATGAGCAGTATAAATACCGCTCAATCAGAATGAGCCGTTCAAAAAATTGAACCGCTCAGAGATTTGAACCGCTCAGAGATTCGAACCGTCCAATCAAATGAGCCGTATGCGTACAGCTCAATACCTATACAGGTAACATACAATTAAGTCTAATCAATTCAGTCTAGTCAATTGAATTCAATCAATTGAATCCAGTCAGTATGTGGCCTTGTATGTGGCCTTGTATGTGGCCTTGTATGTGGTATGTGTGGTCTGGTCTGGGTGGTGTGTGCGCACCTACCCTGTTAGATACATATATACCACATTAAGAATATCATGTACGTGCGCGCGTAACGTGACTGCTTATGTCTATTGGTCTATTTGAATGATGTCTGTAACTTAACCAATTAAAAATAATTAAATCCTGTGACTTGAACCTCGTAATAATAGCTGTAACATTCAAGTAAAATAAATATGCGACAAGATGAAAGTACAGTATCATATAATTAGTATGGCAGTACCATACAATTAGTATGGTGCTGTACCTCCCTTTTGCCGCATATGCCTATATACCATATGAGCCGCTCGAAATTTTGAGCCGTTCAGACTTTTGAGCGCTCAGTCATAATGAGCCGTAATAATACGGCTCAATCTAATTTGAGCGGCTTTATTATATAAGCGGTTTAATTTAGCTTAGCGGTTCTTATTTTAGCACGTTTATACTTATTTGAACTGCTCAATTAGGTTTAACGTACTAAAATTTAAACTAGAACCTTTCCCTTCAGGTATTAGAGCGGTTCAATTTTTTGAATGGTATATATGCGGTATATATACCGTTTAGTAGACCCCCCTATGTACGGTAAGGTAGTCCACCTAAAGATACATTTATTACTCTAAAGCATAAAATCTTAAGAGGTACCTAGGTATATACATGTAGTTATTCCGCATATGAAGCGTATGGTATTGTTTTTGGCCACTCTCTCCATTGAGATTAAATCCTATTTAGCTTAAGAGGTACCTAACGGAGCAAGATATTGAGCAAGATATTCGTGATATCATTCCATTCTCTTTTGTTATATCCTACTGTCACCCATTGGCTTCTACTATTACTTCAATCTGACTTCGAGACCTTGCCAAGATTAGCAGATCGTTTGAAGCACAATGGCCTCAAATGGGTATAACCATTTTATCAACTTTCCCAATCTGACCCGGGTGCCAATGCGACTCTAACAGCTACCTCTTGATGCATACCTACCTAGGCAGTCCTTGATATTCTTCGTTGATACAATTAGGCTTATTTTGCATTGCAACCAAAGCCAGCTGCGGAGCAAGATACCCCTTTTCTATGCCAAGAGAGCTATTTCATGCCTAACTTATCCCGGCTGCAACTTGACTTTCGGATTGGTGCGTTAATAAAGATGTAGACATTGGCACCAACAACATGTCGTGGAATCGATTACTCCGGGGCAATGTCGCCAAGCTTGTAGGTAACCAAACTGCCCCTGGCACTCCGGTGGAAGGATATATAATAATTTCGTGAATTCGACCATCCGCTTTTCAGTTGGCCTATAAATGGTGGCGTAACCGCACCTAGAGGCACAGCGAGATGATAATCCTGGGTTGCTTCTTCATCTTTATAAACACACGAAATTATATCATGGCTCGATCTTTTATCATCGCGGCGGCGCTCGCATTTGTCGCTGTTGCTCAGGCGCAGTGCGGCTCTGGCACTCCGGATGCTACAGTGACCGGTTCTGGCAATTCCTTCAAGGCCACTAAGGGCTCAAGTGCAGTATACTCTGGCTCTGACTACCGTGCGGCAATCCAGGCCGCTGTGGATTCAATAAGCAGCGGTCAACGCGTCTCTGTCATGGCTTCGGGATCCATTGGTGCCAATACTATCACCATTAGCAGTGGCAAGATATTCGAGGGTTGCGGTACTATCGACGTTGGAAACCGGGCCGGGCATGGGGCAATTGAGTCATTGGACACCTCTGGTGTTCAAATTCCGTACCTTACCATGACCGGTAATCCGTACTTTGGCTTGCGGTTTTACGGCACCAAGGACCTAGTTCTTGGAAACATCACGATGAATCTTAGCGGTGGTTTGGGCATCCGTTTCGATAGAGACGCAGCTGCAAACTCGAATGTAAAGATGGATGTTATCAAAGTTACCGGTGCTGGTAGTCACGCTGTAGAGACCTGGAACATTGATGGTCTTGAAATCAATCAAGTTATCGCAAAAGATGTTGGCGAGTGCGGATTATTGCTCCAGAAGACCACCAATGCCAACGTTAAACTCGTCGATGGTGACAACGTCGCCAAAGATACCGGCTATGCAACATTTCGTATGGCGAATAATAATGGTCAAAATCCTAACGGTAACTACAACACCAATGTCCATGTTGACAAAGTCGTGTCCCGTGGCGGCGGTCGTGGCATCTTCTGTGTTTCACAATCCGGAGCAGCCGTCATCGAGAGCGTCGACCTCTCTAGCAACGGAAACAATGCTATCCTCATTGAGAACTGCTACAACATTTCAATCCGTGGGGGCACTGTCAATGGAGGTGGAGAAGTACGTCTCGCGGCTCGCGACGAGTTTCCCAATAACCGCGACATTTGGATCACCCTGACAGTAAACAACAACTCCGTCCGGGAGTCTCCTTGTGGTGATAACACCAACTGGACGATCGACGGTAATGCCAGCAAGAATATTTGTTAAGCACGCAAATGTTTCATGGGAATAGGCAATAAAATATGTTTCAGGGATTCTATTAAACTAACTTGTATATATTCAATGCGTATAAAAAGAAAAAGGAAAGAGGAGAGACTATAACGTGATTATATTATTGAATATCTTGAACTTACTGTAGTGAATGAGGGACTATTATTCAACCAGTCTCCTTATAAAAAAGTAATACCCGAATGATTCTAGGTATATTGAACTGCGCTTGTCTATTAATATTTTACAAGTACATCCGACCAAACCGCATGTTTTCTAGACGGAACAGACCAATATTATTGACGGCTGCAGTTTCGGTCAAGTCTTCGGGTTTCTGTCGACGTAGTTTTACGACAGTTATGCCGTGTGACCGCAGCGTCCCTTTTAATTGGCCACTTGATCTTTGCTGCCTAATGGATAAATCATTACTACGTTGCTAAATTCCCATTGCCGTCCAAGTTCTTTATAGAATAGCACATACTCGTCCAGTTTTATTCCGTATATACTCCCCCATATATCAAAAATGCCGAACTTTAAACCAAACCCAACTGCCTTCGACTTCAAGCCAAGCGGAGAACGCCGCTGGGGTCGTTCTGATCCTATGTTTCGAGAACCTAATCAAAGGCTCGCAGTGTCGAACGACTCTCGATCTCGGGTACAATGCCGATATTTCCAGCAAGGCCGGTGCCGAAATGGCGATTCTTGCCCATACCTACACGAAAATAGTGCTACATCTGATAATTCCCTTCAAAAAATGCCGAATGAGGTAAGGCTAATAAAGGGGGGATATTTCGGAGCTAATGACTATTATAGATCCCGGCGACATCAATACAAGACAAGGTCACTCGTACTATTTGCGGCGCCTTGGTTCACTTTGAGAAAGGGGCTACCGTCGAAAAGATATCATTGCCATCAGACTTTTCTACTATTCAAATCAGCCAGCTCCGACAAGATAGTACAAGAAATTCCATATTAGATCTCCTCCAGTCACACAAGATTAAGACGCCGAATGAAACGGAAGTGCGCATCACTCACGAACGGAATCTTTGCAGTGCCCTGGTAAAAGTGAGAGATCCCGAATTCGCTAAAGACGCCGCGAGAAAACTCAACCCACAGAGGGCTTCCAACCCGGCCCAAGAACCGCAGCCAATAGCTACTCCAATACCGAACCCTATACAGTCGGATTCAAACACTCTTCGTGTTGACTGCTGCAAGGTCCATATATCTTGGCACAAGCCGTACAGGACAGTGTGGCTCAACTTTGGCAATGGGGAGATTGCTGAGCGTGTACGCGACAATTTTCGAGATGGAAAATACAAGATTTTGAACCAAAGCGTGCACAGCAATGATCCGGACCGTGGGGAAGGGTATCGTAATCCTCTGGCATGGACTGTGTGCCTAACGGAAGTGCCAGGTTCCGTAACCGAATTCGATGTCAAGAAGTCTATTTACCATCAAAATGACAAGCCGCGAGGGATCCAACTTGGACGTCCTACATATACCGCCGACGATGAGACATGTTCAGCAATGATTCATTCATTATTTACTTCGATTGGACCTTTGGACTGGTGGGAATTCACTCCCGATACTGCTGGTAAGCGCATGAAAGCAAGCGCGCGATTTAAGAATGAGGATGATGCCAGAGAAGCCGCAATATCACTCGACAAAAAGCCGCTCCCTTTTCACGAAACTGCCAAGCTTACTACACAGTTAGTTCATACAGCAAAGTTTAAGGTACAAGTAAAAATCTACGAAGCAGTCAAAGCCCAACTCAAAGCAAATATTAGAAATTGGAAGGCTTCACATTTGACTTATGTGGCTTACGAAAACTCCAGCCCCCCCAAATGGTATCTAGTGTTGAAAATCGAGGGCGAGGTAGAAAAGGAGGTGGCCTCAGCACAAAAGACCATCACCAAAATTATATCTGGTGTAGTGGCTAGAGATGGCTCTTCCACCCTGTGGCATCCGGCCCTAGGCAAGAATGGGGCGCTTTACGAGCAGATTAAACAGATAGAGAGGAGGAATGGAATCGCCATTATCCGGAACAAAGTTAAATCACAGCTCCAGTTATATGGACCGGAAAAGGCTTGCGAGACTAGCCAAGCTGAGATTAATAGACTACTACGAGATGAGACATCACAGCATTTCGATATTCAACTTGAGGACCACGAGTTCTCGTGGGCGCTTCAAGGAGGATTAAAAAGGATAGAAAAAAGGTTGGGTCCCGAGAAGATCGTGTTTGATATCACATCAACGCCAAAGCGCATTACGATAATCGGTACTACTGGAGACTACGATACAGCAACTTCCTTAATCAAGGATAAAGAGGAAACAAAACGGGAGATAAACATCCAGGATGGCCAAGATTGCTCTGTATGCTGGAATGAAGTGGAAGACCCAATCTACACGCAGTGCGGTCACGTCTACTGCCTCGATTGTTTTGAGAACCTATGCCTTTCAGCTACTACACAGGCCACGGTCACTCGCATATCCTGTGTCGGGAGCCTAGGAAGTTGTTCTAAAACAATAGGGCTATCGGAGTTACAAGAACATCTCTCATCAAGTTCATTTGAGGAGTTATTAGAGAAATCTCTCGACTCCTACGTGAAACACAATCCACATCTGTTTAGTTATTGCCCGTCTCCAGATTGTGAATACATCTATCGGATCAATGCCACACCCAGGACCCAGATGTGCCCCAGCTGCCATGTACTTGTGTGCACGGTATGCCGAGCTCAGCATGGATATATGACGTGCGCAGATTACAAGGATATTTCAACCGGCGGGCTTGAAGCTCTTAAAAGATTGAAGCAGGCTATTGGTATCAAAGACTGTCCAAAGTGTAAGACTCCTATGGAGAAGATCGATGGGTGTAACCACATGGCCTGCCCATGTGGCGCCCATATCTGCTGGGTTTGTTTGAAGACTTTCACGGCACCTAATGATTGCTACGACCATATGAATAAAGCACACGGCGGAATTGGGTTCAATGAGCTTCAGGAGAGGTTTGGTTAAAGTGATAACTGGGATTCTACTAATACTTTAGCTTCTAAGTATTATAGAAGTATAGCATATATCAAATAGTACCTGCCTCGTATAACTCTAGATAGTCACACTTAACTGAGCCATACCTATTACGCTATATCGTTATGATATACCACCGTGATGGACCCAAACGAATATTCCATGTGTACCTAGGTAATCTCATGGTGGCCATTATACATCTACCGCTGTTGTCGGAATATGTCATATATATTACACCTAAAGTATGATACGATCAAGCTGTATTATTCCACTTTACCCTAGATGTTTCTACCAACTTTCTAATTCTAATCCATAACTACTTGGTAAGGAGAACACGATTTCACCTACAACCTCATTACTGATGTGATATAGTAAACAGTATCTTAGAACACATATCACACTAATATCGTGTTGCAATCTCTCTAATGAACATTAGTGATTATAATATAAATTATAACCGTCTTAAGTCTGAAGATGGTCAAGGTTCGAAGAAGCATACAAAACAAGCCGTGGTCTGTATACTACATCATACCTAGACACTTGTATAAGGTATTTCTAAGTACGTAGGTACGCACCTAGGGGGCCTTCAGAAGTAATCACGCGCTTACCTCTGTAAACTATTAACGTAGGTACCTATGTAGATACATAGGTACGCTACCTCAAGCAGGTACTTAAGGTAGCACGGTACGTAGGTTAAGTACGTACCTGGGTACTCAATGATAGTACATTAGGTTAGGTACGTAACGGACAAGGCAGCAAGGCCGCAGAGTTGAGGCTCTTAATGATCCTGAGAGAATCATACTTCAGAATTACTTGATTTTTGGTTGATTTGGCAAAAATAACCCGAGTGTACCTGATGTAGGAGTAATGTACTTACGTGTTTAAAATCAGGAATCTTAATAAACTAAGAGTAATTACCTAAGGTGATTTACATTTTAAATATTTATTAGGCATACTTTTTATCGAGTCGGGCTGATTAGGAGTTGATTAAGACTTGTAAAACTAAATGGAGGATGCTGTTGATTCAAACATCTGGAATTAAATAAATAATTCCAACCTGGAATAAATGATAAGTATCTGGTGCTGATTCGTACCTACCTCATATATTAAATCCAGTGATTTCAGTACGTCTTCAAGTACGTCTATGTTCTTAATCAAAGGCAAACAATTAGAGGTATACAAAGTAAGTACATCTGTAGGTATCAAGTAGGTATCAAGGAGAATGTACTTATCCTGATGCTTTAGGGTACGTACCTGTGTACGATTAAATATTCTAGTCAGCTAGATAATTCCACTCTTAGGCACCTACTCACTTAGGTTGCTGTAACTGTATGAATGAAGGTACCTAACCTAAGGTACTTGAGGTACGACGACCAGAGTTACGATAATCAAAGATACGTAGGTACGTAAGAAGAAGGTACAGATGAGGGTAAGGAGGGAAGGTACGGATGAGGGTAAGGAGGGAAGGTACGAACCATCTCAGCCTTGCAAATCAGAACTCCAGAATCAGCCGCCTGAAATCTTTTCCTATATAAACATAGCCAGTCTCCCCCCATCTTCCTCTTTCATTCTTCCTTTCTCACACCAACAACCACAACAACCACAACAACCACAACAACCACAACAACCACAACAACCACAACAACCACTACAACAATTACAACAATAATCACAACTTCTGCTACCCTTTTAAAACAATCGTAAGTGACTAATCTACTTATTTCATCTTATCCTCCCCCCGAAAGTTAAAATTTCTATCCCATCCTACGCACTTCGCAACTTCACCCTGCCCTACTTTATTTCCAAAAAACACTTCATTTACCCCATTTACTCCACGTCTTTACTTCTTCCAACTTTTTCCCTACATCCTCACTTCACATTAAACATGCAGCCTCATCCGAATATTCAATTATACCTTTTCTAGGCATCGCTCTTCTTTCTAATCACTTCTCCCTTCTCGGCTTTTACTCCTACTCAGTTAAGGACACTTACCTGCATGGTAATGTTTCACTCCCCTCCCGTTTCCACTCTAAAATTCTCAACACTACATCACCTATTACTTCGCCCTCTTTTAGTCCTTAGCATACCAAATTGGTACGAAAGCACATCACGAAGAAGCTAAAATTGACCAATCTAGTTCAACATACCGCCTACCAATTCCAACAGCAACAGAATTATAAGCTCCTCTTTCCTCCAGGTGGCGGTCTTGCGCCCATGTGGATAAGCTACGTGCCGCTGGCCTGGATCTACTCTTAAGTGGCTTTGCCGTTTATGGGGAGAGGAACTCCTTCACCTCAGGAAATTGTCGACATACCCCTCTAGCCCCAATCAAACCCATGGCTGGCCCAGCAAATTATTAAATTATTTTTTGTAAGTATGCTGACAACTGCGACATCCTCGACACTAGTAATATCGCTAACCATTCTTGTTGGTGGAAGCAGCAACAAAGACGACAACATTATCATTAACAGCAACAACATTACAAATCACCTTGGGTCGGTCGGGTCCCTGGACCTTCGCAGGAGTCAGGCGAAGAGATAAGGGCAGAGAAGTTTTATACCGTGCTCCGTGTTGCCAAGCTAGTACTTGCTGGGACGGTGCCAACGTAGGTTTTATTTTACAGCATTAGGCTGGCCGCAAACGTTGGTGCTATCGACATGTGATACTTCGGTGTCCTTGTCGTGTCTGCCTGCCTGGGGGGATGTGCCCTGGGAGGCGGCGTTCCTCGACGTGCAAGGGGGTCTTGCAGTGTCTCCGAGGAGGACGGAGGGGGCATTGCTCACGTTACACACCCACCCTCATTGCTGCGGCACCCTGGCGAACATCCCCGGCATTGGGGTGGCGGCACTTCGTTCTCTTATATAAGGCGGGTGTTTTTTAAGTAGCTGGGGCCGGGGAGATAAGCCCCGATGGGAGCCAATCCGTCCAGCGGAGAGGTTTTCCAGCGCCGCGAAGGATTTCGAGCCATAGTGCAGTTAGAAAGGTCAGGCATTGGAGGCTGCCCAAGGGAGTTCGGTGTCCTATGTCAAGCAGTCTCTGGGTATTTTTCCTGAGGTGAGGGCAGGTATGTACCATCCCAACCCCTTTTGTGGTATTACTCATCCGCAGGTATACATTTGTGGCATTGTCACTCAATAGTGAAAGTAACTTTTTTTCTACTTCACTTATTTTTGGAACATTTTCAGCTCTGCTGAGTCATACACCTTTTTTTTCATTGCAATAGCTGGCTAGACCAGCATTGTGAAGAAGAAACAGACTTTTGGATGAAATTGTGGCGCTGGCATCATATCGCGTTATCAACTAAACGAATACCTTGAGACTTCAATAATTGGAAGCTATTGAAGACAATATTAGGGCATGCAATCATTTCCCACTACCTATATCTCCTGTCCAGGACCTCCATAAATATCACATTTGGCAGATGAACCTTATGTGTAGGTATCTGGAGGTATTCTTGGCATAAATAGGACTTGTAGAGAATCAAAATACACGGAAATTAATACTTCAGCCTTTTCCTAACACGTCCTACCTAAGACTTGAAATTTCCTTCTTGTGGTGCGTTTAACATCTATATCTCTCTACTTTGATGCCCTTTTCCACTTGAACTTTCCTCTCCCTTAATGTTTACTGTCTGGACTATTTATATACTTGCCTAAAGGGGCAGGTATTTAAGTATATAGGTTCGCTAGGCAACGGATTAATCGATCGGAATCACCCGTACATACGGGATGATACACTCCCGAGATACGACATCAGGAACTGATATTAATTCAAATATCCCGAAATCCAGAGAACATTAGAGTCTAGAAGTAATGTCCACCTTGTACTAAGTAGTAGCCATTGCCATTCAGAACGGACAACTTGGGCTTGAGTGACTATCTCCTTGGGAGGTAGGTACATAATCTAACGATGCGGGGTCCCATAGTGCTGTTCACTTATCTGCTTAACATCTGGACTGGTTGCGCCATTGTACGAGCGCATGTTGGAACGGCTCCCGGGAAAATACCACGGGTCCAGGCACTACCTTCTCTACGGGAACAAGCGAAACTGCTGGACGGATGGACTGAAGAGCGTAAGGCTCTTATCCCGGGGCTACTACGCAAATATGGCGTTGATGCTTGGCTGGTGCGTTGTTACGTTCTATCTTCTTCGGCCGCGCCCCTGACAAACTTAGTAGATGAGCCAACGCGAATATGCCGAGGATACTGTGTTTTGGGCTCTCAAAGAAGCCACGCAGTTCTCTGCTAGGCGACGGACTACACATCTCTTCCTGGCTGATCCAGTCGGTGGGGCGCCATCTAGCTATTCATGGATTGAGAATACGGAAGCCGTATGGACAGAGCTACGGCAGATTCTGGCAACGCAACAGCCACGCTCCATTGCGTTGAACACACATTCGGAAATCGCATTTTCGGGAGGTTTGCATGCTGGTGAACTCGACGCCATTATGAAAGGCGTAGGAGAGGAGTGGAAAGACCGCTTTGTGTTAGAACCTATGCTTGGGGTCGAACTAGTCGCGACGATGGTTGAGAGTAGACTCCCATGGTATCAAAAGATGATGGAAACAGCCTGGGCTATCATAGAAGAGGGGTTTAGTGAGAAGACCATCGTGCCTGGGAAGTCCACAAGCTGGGTAGGTTTATACCCATCGGGTTCTGCATGAACACAATGGATTTAAGTTAATAATACTGACTCTCCAGGATATTGAATGGTGGATGCGAGAAAAGATACAATCCTTGAATTACACCACCTGGTTCCAGCCCAGTGTTTTCATTTTGACGGGAAAAGGATTCCCTGCTGCAGACGACCTTTCCGCCTCGATGGACGACCCTCGGGCGCCCGATCGCCCTATCGAGTACGGAGATTTAATTCACACAGATTTTGGCGTATCCGCCCTTGGTTTAAACACCGATACTCAGCACATAAGCTACGTTCTGTACCCTGGAGAAACCGAGGCAGATGTACCTAAGGGTATGATTGAAGGGTTGAAGAAGGTTAACCGTTTACAAGATATCGTGAAGAATAACATGAAAATCGGGATGACGGGTAACGAGATCTTAAAGGCGTCACGAGAGCAGATGCGCAGTGAAGGTATACAAGGCAAGATATATTGTCACGCTACGGGGGAATGGGGCCATTCGGCAGGGACGGTAATTGGTAAGCATCATGTCTTCATACGCCTTTGTCCATCGCTGTCGTTTAACCAACTCTCCGTAGGTATGACGAATCTTCAGGATCAAGTCCCAGTTCTCGGGGATCTTCCCTTATTGAAGAACACATATTATAGCATAGAACTTTTCGCGGAACATTTCGTCCCTGAAAGGAATCGGACTATTGTCTTCCCTCAGGAAGAGGATGTGTACTGGGACGACGCAACTAACAGCTGGCAATGGGTCTACGGGAGACAGGAGGAACTTTTATTGATAAGAACACCTGCGGTAGATGGCGTGGAAGCACTAACGGAACTGTGAAGGAGAACGAAGGTCGCTATGTACCTAAGATATGCTTTACGTATATTCTCTCCTTACTGTGGGGGTAAGAGTAAATTGTAGAAACACAGCACCTATTGCTGACGGCTTGTATGACAATGAACTGCATATCTTGTAGTAGTAAATTGTTACACAAGAGCTAATCGTGAAGAATATCGAATTTTATAGGATGTATGTCCTCAAGTGCGAGGGAGACACGGTGGGTCAACCCTTTAAAATCCGAGCAACTTGATTGATCCAAAACAGCTATCATGAATTCTGATTGAACATACCCTAGTATAGGGTACCCACCGTGTCTCTCTCGCACTTGAGGACATATTTTCGAAGTAAACATTATATATACATATGATATGCTTTGGATTCTCGGATGAGGCGCGGAAGCAGTCAGGGGCTTCGGCAGGGGCGGTATACCCGATTTCCACGGCGGGCCAACGGCCGTCGGGGGGAAGTTGTTTTTTTTTTTTTTTTTTTTTTTTTTTAATATATATACCTCAGCAAGGGGGGCGAAAGCTTGGCTTTTCCCAAGCGCCAGGTCCATATCCAATGAAGAAGTAGATGATGATGCAATCATGCCTCAAATCGATGAAGATAGAAGTGGGAGAAAAGAAATTACGAGCATCCGAGGCTTGGGTTTGGGTTGAAATTAATGATAACTATGCTATACATATCTAACTTGGTAGAATGTTTCGTGTGATGTGAAGCTGTTAATCTAGTAGCTATTTACCTGTGTGATAACTAGACATACTTCTATACTTCCGTATCTAGGTCAATATAAAATTTTAGAAGCTATGCTCTAATAATGCACGATGGTGAGATGCCGCAAGTCGTCTACCTAGTTTGGGAGGATTATGATCCAGAATGACGAAATACTACCTTACTCAGCCGTAACATAATGTGGACGCGTCAATAAAAGTCGGCGCACAAATAACTCGTCGACGTGCTAGAGGCTAGATTCTAGAAAGTTAGGAAGAGAGAGAAACGGCACGGGGGTGTGTCAGTTAAGCCCCTGGCAGTTAAAATAGATAGGTAGGTAGATACATAGTTCAGATCAGGTCTTGTTTCTCCTGCAGAATGCTGCCGGGTTGCCCAATTAGATGGGGCCGGGCGCTTGTAGATACCCAACGCGGGGGCAGGATCGACAAATCGGATTGGAACATATGCGAACGATACGTCAATTTGCTAATACTATTCGATGAGGATGAGGATGAGCATAAAACTAGGAAGACGGACCTAATATAAGTAGGTAAGGGGAGAATGAAGATATCAAAGTCGTACTCTGTAAGTAAGGAGTTATAAGATAGAGCGACAGTTCCACCTCGAAGGTTCTTATTCCTCGACTCTCGAGAGCTACGAGTTAGGTAACACTTTGTGCTGTCTCTTGTGCTGCTCGTTGAGGTCATACACCTTTCCTTGATTACTGATTTGGGAGGATGATCCAGCTGTTCGTCCCACAGTAAAGTATCCGCAATGGAGTCTTGGCGCATGGTTTCGTGCTTTTCCAAAAAGTATATCGACCTAAGGCAGGTAATTGAGCTTGGGAATAATAGTTGCGAAATTTGGTGTCATTGAGAGACGGGGGAATTTAAACAGGTAACAATTAGAGTCATGATGATTTTCAATGGAGATGAACTTTAAAACAGGTAAACTACCTAATTCAATATATGCATATTGTTAATATGTTTTTGTTGCATGTATTATTCTATCAAGGTCTTCTGCCCCTCTACCCCTCCATACTTCTTCTCAGGTAGTATTGATGCTATTGACATCAAGTAAAAACAACAAGTTGCGATTGTCTTCCTACAAGGTAGTTTAGTCATGTTCAGGGTTGGGACGTATCATTCGGTTTTTATTAGAAGAAAATAAGGTAATATTGATATGGTTAATTTATTTCTTCTTTATCGGCAATTTAGGTTAAGTTAGGAAGCTGAATTGGGTTTTTTAAGTGTTGACGCACGTTGACAGTTGACGACGTGAAAGGGCCAAGAAGGCGCAATTCCCGGTAATACCTAATCTTCCTATGACGTGAAAGTCCAAGATTTTGCGACAAAATAGAAAAAAATATTATCTACCCAAGGTACAATTAGTACGATTATAGTGCAAGTGCCGTACATCGTACACCTGCCTACCTCCCTGCCGGCCAGGTACCTCCTTGCCTCCCTAACTTCCATTACTTTAGGTACAGACCTCCTGGCCATTTGACCTTTCAACCTTCTAACCTCGTAATAATAAATCTCAACCTTAGGTACCTACCTGAGCTCTTGGAAGAAGGAAGAGAAAAGAGGAAGAAAATATCTTCATCTTTCCCGTCTTGCCACCGTTCCCTCTTATTCTTCCTCTCTATTTAATTGCACTTTAGCAGTTATTATGCCATCGTAACTTGTTCTTGTCGCGCACAACTTTTATCCCTTTACCTTTCTTGACAACTACATCATCAAGGATTGTCAAGGATCGTCAAGGATCTATCAAGTACAAAAGACCAAGTATTGATGATAATTTCTACGAGACACGCGAAAAGACTAAGAGGAAGTACGGCCGCATTGCTATTTGTATATCGCGTCGTATCGCATCTACCCTATCAACAGCATTGTACCGACTTGCATCGCCTCGCACCAAATCGCATTGTTTCGCATTCTTATTAATTCATCCTCTTCCCCATTTTCTATCTGTCTGCGAATGCGACCGCGCCACCTTCGACCTCGATCTTGACCTCGACCTCAACCTTGATTTCCTCCACTCAACCCGTCACCATTTTTAGCACAGCAACAACATTTGCACCTTTCTCTGACAAGCAACTCAATTCCTCATCTGATAGCTTAACTAGCCACATACACGCGACTTTTGGTTACCGGGCATCCGACAAGTGTAGCCCATACCTCAATTTGCGACTCGCATTTCCCCCCCTAAACGATGAATGGTGCCAAGGACGCGACTGCAGACACTTCCGTTGCTCACCCTGCGACGACACAAGGACCGACGTCTCCTTCAAGTACAATCCCAATGATGGCCGGTGCGAATGGTAACGGGACGAATTCTACAACCATATCAACCACAAATATCGCGAGCCCAACACTCCTAAACAAGAAGAGAAAGAAGGACGGCTTGAAACCCATTATCACCATGGAAGGGCCAGCACCAGGGTAAGATTATACTATTATTTTTCGCATTATCTCTGTGACTTTGACACTAAGTTCCCCCCTTTTTTTCCCTTCTTTTAATTTCTCTTTCTTTTGCTTTACTTTTTCCCTCCCCCTACCTACTGCATATGCACATCACACCTATAGCGCACAACACAAATCATTGTTGCGTTGCACGAGGTTGTGGGTAGAGATGTAGGTACTTGACATCTTGCAGCCCATACCAGTGTAAGCCAAGCAAGCAAGCAGTAAACCAGGAATCAGCAGAGAGATCCTAAGATATCCAACGGAAATCCCCTCCAGGATGGATGGAACTTAGACCACAAGCAAAGAAGCGAATATAAAACAATACGGGACAAACCACAAACCACAAACCACAAACCCTGCGATGGCGGCGGCGACAACAACGGAAACAAGCTTCTTCCACACATCGGGACAATGATACCTGAATTGTCTTCTCTTATCGGTCATATGCCATCCCATATTGACCCATGCTGGCCCGGGTATCTGCATACATAACACAGACGGCACACGCACCCGCACACATCCTATCTCACGGTGTTGTGCTATAACCAGGCCAGACTTACGACAGCAACAGCAAATCAGTATGTTTCTTATATAAACAGTACCTATATATCTATCATCTGCTCCTTTGTGGCGGGGCTGAGCCGAGCCGACCGTCAGTTGGAGTTGCACCATCCAATCCCTCTTCCCCCTCTATCATCCATAGGTATCCATATCCATCCCTCCCCTCCTCCCCTTGGCCCGCCCCTCGGCCCCCCCTGAAAAGGGTCAAGCGCTATTCCAACTGCGGAGCGTCATTGATGGAGGGGCATCCCTGTACGGGTCCCAGCCCTGTCAGGATCGGGACTCGACCGAAAAGAAGCTCTAAAGTTCCCAAGTGCTTTGAGCGTTTAGCGCCCACAGCTTCTTTCTCACCGTGCAAACCTGGTCATCCTCTCCATAATCAGAGCCGATCTACTAAATAACCACATTCCGTCACGCCTCTACATACTCGCATATTCGCATACTCACATACGGTCCATCCACCGGGTCAACTCAACTTGACTTTGACCGGGGGGACTAACTGGAACCAAGAAGAGGGAGAGGGGGTGATTTGATTATTACCGTCTATCTTCTATCTTTCTCAACCCGCAAGCGCACTATTTGACGAAGACTATTACACAACCTTTTGATTTACTTCACCTTTGTCCTTGCTCTACCTTTACTCTATCTTCGGTTGAGTTGTGTGTAGTGCGACGCGGTGCTATCCAGCGCTGTGATGCGCCGTGGTGCGATTTATCACGCATTCACCCAATTCTCTCAAACTCACCTGGACTCCTCTTGTCCTACATAATTGTTGACAAGTCTGGTGGTTCATTCTATTAATTTTTTTCCCCTCCCTTTGAGCGCTTGTTGATTCCAAATTCGCCTGCATCATCTATCCAATTCCTTGGTATTTCTCTTATACGCTTTTCGAAGTCGCTTGAGGATTCATCTTATTATCTGCTCTCTCTCGCTCCTGGCTATCAAATACTCCCTTGTTTCGCCTATAAAACCGCGCGACATTATACACTATGGCTACCATGAAGAAAAGGTTACTGTTTACTATCTACTACTATTACTACTAACTGTGGCTTGGAACCCCCCTTCGGCTTCACTACATCTTCCTCTCCCTTCCCCCCACCGCCACCATCAAAGTTATGGCGACTGGGTCGGGTCCTAGTCTACCCAGTCTGGGTGAGGTATCTTGATGGATTTTTACCCAAACCCGCCTTTTCATTGGTACTTCCAGTTTCGGGCCGCCAGGGTACCGCTCGCATAGCCAAACAACCAGGGTCAACGAGCCTGCAGCCCGCCGCCACATTGCCAACCTCACTCTTCCCGAGCTTGCTTGCGCTGGCTATACTTTTACCTTTCATTCTTGCTACCACAGACTTTATATTTCCAATCACGCTGTCGTCACTGATATATCTCTGAACAAATTTTTTTTTGGATGATTAGTTACTAACATTACTTAACATAGACCGCCGCACCTATCTAATATGAATCAACATTCCCCGACGTCGTCCTCCGGTCCAGAAGACGCTGCCGAAAACACTGCGGACGAGGAGGACTCTGAGGATTATTGCAAAGGCGGTTATCACCCCGTCCAAATTGGCGAGAAGTTCAAGGATGGAAAGTATACGGTTGTGCGAAAACTAGGATGGGGCCACTTCTCGACCGTCTGGCTCTCTCGGGACAACACGAATGGTAAGCACGTCGCATTAAAGGTCGTGCGATCCGCCAGTCACTACACGGAAACCGCTATCGATGAAATCAAGTTGCTCCAGAGGATCGTACAAGCGAACCCAAACCACCCAGGCCGAAAATATGTTGTTAGCCTGCTCGACTCGTTCGAACACAAGGGACCGAATGGAGTGCATGTATGCATGGTGTTCGAGGTTCTTGGGGAAAATCTTCTAGGATTGATCAAGAAGTGGCAGCATAGGGGCATTCCTCGAGATCTTGTCATGCAAATCACGAAGCAGGTATTAATGGGCCTGGACTACCTGCATAGAGAATGCGGCATCATTCATACAGATCTCAAACCCGAGAACGTTCTGATAGAGATAGGCGACGTTGAGCAGGTGGTGAAGAAGGTGGTAAAGAACGAGAACTCGGATAAGGAAAATAATAGGAACGGAAGGCGAAGAAGACGAACCTTGATCACTGGCAGTCAACCGTTACCGTCACCTTTGAACGCGAACTTTAATCGCGACAACCTATTTCCATCAACCAAATCTCACAGCAGCCTCAACGCTATGTTACACGATGGTACGTACCTACACGAGCTTTTATCATCCGTATTTTCTTGCGCCTATGGGGTCATCTTATTATGATGCTTAATCATGCTACTATCCTCCCCGCATGAGCGATATTCGGAACCCACCGAATTTGCAATATCCCTTCCTACTATTATATCTCTCTCTTTATACTTCGATAATGTGTGCTGACGGGATTTTCTATTTTTAGCAGCGACGCCAAGTTCGTCTACCAGCGATAAACAGGGACAGAGGGAAAAGACAGCGTAAGTTTAGCCCACAAATTTATTATCGTAGTAGCTTACCAAGTGCCCGTTACTCTACAGTGAGCTCCTTACCAAGGAAGTATCTGGAATTTCTCTCGATAAGTCCGCTACCGGCGGTACCGCATCTACCAGCGAAAAAAGGAAGAGAAAGCGAAAGGGGCCAATTATTAACGTCAAGATTGCGGATTTGGGAAATGCTTGCTGGGTCTCTCACCACTTCACAAACGACATCCAGACAAGACAATATCGATCGCCAGAAGTTATTTTGGGCGCAAAATGGGGCGCGAGCACTGACGTTTGGAGTATGGCTGCGATGGTAAGTTGTCCCTTCTCCACCTACCACGCTTATCTCGTTGGTTCTGCAACGGGGGAAAGGTCCATGAGCTAATGGGTGCTCATTTAGGTATTCGAACTGATCACTGGCGATTACCTTTTCGATCCCCAATCAGGAACCAAGTATGGCAAAGACGACGACCATATCGCACAGATTATTGAGCTTCTTGGCCCCTTCCCTAAGGAACTATGGAAGACTGGTCGCTGGTCCCAAGAGATCTTCAATAAGAGAGGAGAACTGCGTAATATCCATCGCTTGCGACATTGGGCGCTACCCGACGTCCTACGTGAAAAGTATCACTTTAAGGACTACAAGGATCTGCCACCGAAAGAGCGGGAAGAGAAGGAGAAGGCTCGCAGAGAACGGGCTGAGGCCAAGGCCAAGGCTAAGATGGAAGCAAGGAAAAATGGCGAGGACGAGGACGCTGTAGAGGACCTCTTCCCAGACGACGAACCCGCCCTCGAGTACCAGCCTTCTGAGGTATCTGAATTCCTGCTGCCGATGCTCGAGCTACTGCCCGAAAAACGTGCGAATGCTGGCGGCATGTCGAATCATCCGTGGTTAGATGACACGCCGGGTATGGAGGACATAAAAATAGAAGGACTCGTACCTGGGGGCAAAGGTGAGGGCATTGAAGGCTGGGCCTGCGAGGTGAAGAAGCGGTAGAGTTTTTGGTTACATGTCGCTAGCTCTCGGTAATGGTTATAATGATTCTCGGGGTTCGTCCATGGAGCTACTCGTAGGAGAAAGACATGATCAGTCCTTCCTTTTTTATCGAGGAAAGAGAAAGAAAGAATCTAACATAGAAACGGGCTTCGATCCAATGATTTACGACTCCGCTTGCGGGAGTAGAGGAGAGAAGAGAAGCAAAGAGAATTTGTAAAAAACGAGAGCAATAAAGTTCCAGGAGTAATGTGTTCGTTATGGTAGAACCCGGAACATTCCCCCTATCAGGGGGGCTTCTTTCCCCGACACCTTTAACTCACTGCTCTTAGTTGTAATAGAACCACAGCACTGTAGGTAGTGGACGTAATGAGTCGGTGGATTTGAGAGGATAAATGCACATGTCAACGTGGAATATTATATCAATCAATTGTATTGTACTCCAGACAGGAAATATGAAAAGTATTACAATATAAAGCAGCTGGGTCTGCTCATGTCAAATATTAAAACTTACAATCTCGTTCTACACTTGCGTGTCCGCGTTTATGTCTCCGTCCCCTTGATAGGAAGGGAACAACTTAATATCCGTTAATGAAGAGATTAGATTATTTAGAGAGTGATGTCTCCAACCCTTGGAATTATATAGACTGCCTACCTAGGTATGTAATGAGTTGAAACTACATGTTAATGGCTAGAGGGTGTGTATGATAATACAAGCTCGGGAGAGAAGCATCTCATCTCTCCTATGTCACATCATCTGAATAACTGTCTGCACTCGATACTTGTTTTCGGTACCAAGATGAGTAATATGTAGACTGCCTGGCTGTAGTCATGCTTAGTCTAAGGTTTCCAACAAACAAGAACGGGAATTTTAATAAAGTTATGGTGGGTATATTGACGATAATTATGAATGACAGAGGGGAGAGCGAATTGGGAGCGAGCCAAGTCCGGTTTAAAGCCGCAACGGATGTAAGTCACATGCGAATAACTCGTATGAGGAGGTCCCCAGTAGGTCAGAAGCGATCCAGCTTGCATATGTATCTCATAAACACGGCAATATTCGACGAAAACAACAGAATTAATTCACCGAGTCAAGTGTATACCAACTCCATAAAGCACCGTAATATCACGCCTAGGTCTTAAACCTGGATGTCTATTTACTCAGATGAAAGCCTACCTAAGCTGCCTGTTATCAGAGTATATAGGCGATGCTTTGGCGTGTTGCTATAAAGAGATGTCTAAACCTAAACTCCAAATACGTGCACACTTGATAGCATGCAATAACCTCCATCCGACATAATTCCAATTTGACAAATTCCAGAAGGGTAATATAGTTGTACACTTTAGCCCTTCTTCTTCCCCTTTTGGGTCATCTTGCGGAACGCTTCGATTCCGCTGGCACCGATTGGTCGATAGTCCGGTGCGCGTGTGGGATCGAAAGTACTACGCGGGGCGATTGTGTACGTTGAGGGAAGACCCATAACACGCGCACGACTTACATCTCTTGCAGGAGCTAGCATGCGTGCACGCTCCTCCTCTGCAAGACTTTGTGCAGTGTGGCGCTGGTTAAGCGTCAACTGACTGCTCGTAGCGACCTGTCGAAGCTTCGCCGCCCTATTTAGATTGTTAGCAAGAGATGGTTTATGAGAAGATGGAAATATATTAGACGTACTGATAATCAAAGTCTCGCGTCTCGATATGACGCTTCTTGTAGTCGTCGGTACGCTTGAGAATAGGTCTACTCCACTCGCCCAGCAGGCGCTCAGCCATACGCTTAATACTAATCTCGGGCTTCTTGCTCTTCGTGTAGAACAAGACAACTTTTCCGATGCCACTTGATCGCAGAGTCTCCTTCTCGATAGGGAGCCGCGTTAGAGCTTGGAATATATCGCGCTGGATATTGTAGGCAGGCAATGAACCATCGTTAAGGGGCTCGAGGAAGAATTTTACGTGCTGTAGGAAGTTGGTATCCGGGTCGACAACCGCTGCTTGATTGGTGTTACGATTAAGCAGCGCCATCACCTCGGGGAGGAGCTTCAACTTGTGCAAAGCCGGTTGACCTGCTTCGCGTGCCTGGTTGTCTGCCTGGCAGGCATTTTCCATGCGGACTTTAAGGTCTGCGATTCGCTCATCCAACTCATCTTCCAGATCCTAGAAAGATAGGCATTAGCGAGCGTAATAATAACCCAGACTATTTTCCCGTAACACATACCACTTCATCCTTCTTCTTTCGTCTGACACCCTTTGGCTTCGACTGGTTTCTAGCGGCGCGCTCGATAGCTCGACGCCGTCTCTCTTCTGGAGTTAAATTCTCTTCATTTTCATGTTCCGATTCCTGCTCTGGAGCATCAGGAACCTTGCGGACACGTTTAGTATGTAGAATCTCGCCGTCTGCACCGTCATTATCATCATCGCGTGATCGCTTCTTCGCGCGCCGTCCTTCCTTAGGTTTCTTCGTAGCTGTTCCTTTTCGCTTTCCAGCCTTTAGCGTACGTGCCGCGTCTTCGTCGATAACCTGGGGTTCAGGTCGTTTCTCGTCAACGCGAGCAGTAGCGGGGTCATAATCGTCGAATTGATCTTCGTCAATGTCGGATAGGGCGTCTGAATCTTTATCCGAGTCGCCAGCACGGGCAATGTCATAATCCCCTGATCCTTCACGAGTCTCGTCGTTCTCTTCCTCGTGAAGGCTCTGAGCAGGCGAGCCCGCGTCTGACATTTCGGCTAAGGCGGTGGGGAAATTCGGTAGAGGATTTCAAGGCGAGAAAACAAAGTGAATGAGATGAAAAGTTGCGAAGGCTGTGATGGACTTTTGTCGACAAGCTGCGGTCTAATTGTTTGTAGAAGGACCAAGAAAAAGAAGGTACAAATGGGGAGGACTCTTTATAATTGGGCGAATTAAAATAGAATATAAAAAAGGGTGATTGGTAAATTCATCGATAGCAGTTCACCAACACGTAAGTGACGAATTGATGAAGTTGTTAAAAGGTCGGGAGTCGAAGATCGAAGAGAATAATACTTCCCAAGCAGCAAACAGATTTAGATACAAGAAGGTAAGAGGCACGTTACTTACCTCTGCATGCTCTTGGTACTGTGTGGTCCACATCATACATGTACTGTGCAAGGTTGCTGATTACATAACATTAGCTCATATTGAAATGGCCATTAATTTTTTGTTTACTATCGCTAATCGTTGCCAACAGGAACTGCCGATTCTCATTCTCATCAGCCTCACAAAAAGAGATCCGCGAATCAACTACTACATTGGAAGCTTCCTAAGAAATTCCGAATTGACTACCTAAGCTTTCCTTCTAGTACCACCTCTCTTTTATCCTCTTCTTAGTTATACCATCAATCTCACATTTGGTCGGAAAGCTACAGCGTCATATCTTTTTTTGTCAATATTTACTCGACAACGGCCGAATGGACCGGCGTACCTATGAATCTCCCATGGACTGGGAATACCAGAATAATGCTCCTGTAGACCCGTCAAGTCCGTTTGTACAGTCCACTAAGAGATTACAAGCCAAAGGTATGTTGATCATTCATTATAAACTCAGTCGAAGCTTCAGCTTCAGCTTCGCCCCCAGCCATAGAAATAGCTATGGCAACAATCGCCTAGAATCGTCGCAAATAAACAGCCGAAGCTAAAGTTTCGTGATTGTTCTAGGTATATTCGGCTCTTCGAGTCTCCTTAACGACAAAAACGGCTCTCACAACACCTTCGGTCAGAATCCATTCGAACGCACGCAAAGCACCCCGTCGTCTAGTAAAGCGCCGCCTCTCACGCCTCATCCACCGTCTATCTTCTCTACATCTGCTCTCCAAAGAACAGCCACAGCGCCGCCCTTTCGAAATCCTGCCTTCACGACACCAAGGAAACCCATCGATTCTGATGCGCTATCCGAGTTCTCGCCTGCCGAATCCAGTCCTGCCGTTACTGACGTGTCCGACTATCCCGACACCCCTGAGAATGAACGTTCATCTAATCTTGCGCATATGACTATTACACCCGCAAATATGAGTAAATTCAAAGCGCTTTCACCAAAGAAGGCCTCCGGTAGAGGTGAAATAGCCAGGACTATCTTTGCTTCACGAGATAAGGTGCGCAAGAGGAAGCGGTATAATGCCGATAGGGATGTCAGCGGATATCGCCTACCTTATATCCAACAGGATGAATGCGACGAGTCAGATTATGAGTCAGATGAGAGCACATTCCAGCCGAGCAGATCCCGTAAGGATCAAATAAGCCGCGGCAAGGATGGATGGTTCGGCACCTTTCTAGCCACTGTTCAGCGACATCCATATGCCCCAAGCATTCTTGGCTACTGGCTGACTTTCGCATTCAACCTATTCTGCGTATCGGCCACGTGTTGGATTGGCTGGGCCCTCATCGACGGTTTGCGCCAGGACTTTTCCACCGAGAGACAAGCACTAAGGGCTGATATTCTTGCCGAGATTGATAAATGCTCAAGCGATTATCGGGAGAACAAATGCTTTCCGGTAGAGAAACGGTTACCGGCCATGTATGAGCTATGTGACCAATGGTTCGCTTGCATGAACCAAAACCCGGATAACGTCAAGCAGGTATCAAGCAGTGCCAAGGAAATGGCCAAAATTCTTAACGAGATTGTTGAGACGATGTCGTACAAGACTTTGGTAAGTCTATTTCATGTAAGGTACGCGGATGATGGACACAGCCAGCTAATTTAAAACTAGGCCTTGTTGCTTATTTTGTTCACGATATTCGCATACAGCGGCAGGTCGCTATATAAGAGTACTAACGCATTCACGGATATTCCCCAGCCTCATCCGCCGGCCCCATTCCCGTCACATCAAGCAGGTGATCAACACATAAGGCCTCTTTCCCAGCAAGTATACTGGCAGGCAATACAACCTCAAACTCCACGACATACAAGTAATCGTCACCTCTTAGACAATGATGAGACTCCTGACACGGATGAGGTACCGAGATACGCGCTTCCGCCCCTAGAGACGCCTATGTCACGGCGGAGTCCATCTAAAGGCGAACGAGGCAGAAGTCCTACTAAGAGTAGAAGTCCAGTTAAGCGATATTAAGGCTAGGTAGAGAGTAATGTGTACTATAGTAAATAGGATGCTCAAACACGACCATGAACGGTTCTCGAGTTAACGGCAACCCCCAAGTTAATCGGATAAGGGAGATAGGAGTTGGCTTATAGCGGGTCCAGAGGACTTATAGCTTAATGGATCTGTAAAGTGCTATAGCGAAATTCAAAGCCAATTATCTAATACCCAGTAGTAATCCTTGTCGCTTGTATATTGCATTCCCTTCAATGTATGGTTTTGAAAGGTTAATACACTAATGTTATTGTCCTCGACAGCCTACTAAGACCAGGTTATTGATTGAGCATCTACGCTTTTTAGGTAGTGATTGAAATGAAATACAGTTAAATATAGGGCACAAGGAGATGATCATTTTAATAGTAAATGGGAAACATTGTTGCCCATTAGCTGGTGAACAATAATAACTGGGTAGGTACCTGGCTCTTGGGTGGTATCTACGTATATGCCTGCGGTATAAAGAATTTTGTAGTTACAAGCATCTCCTGATTGAATTCAAACTCTTGCTAAGAAAGGTGCTCTCCCAAATTAATTACAGCGCAAACCACGGAGAACAAACAAGCACCGCTAGCAGTCGATTATCAATCATCACCGTGGCTCAAGATAGATGATCGTCGATTCCGAAGATTTCATCATACACCTAGATAATAAAAATAGCAGGTTGACTACATCACAGTTAACTCTTGAATAGGATGCGTGGATTTCCTTCAGATAATAGTCATTAAATTGCTGGGACTTAAAGTTACATAACTCATTCTTTCAAGACTTCGGAATTTCTTAAGTAGTCCCTTAGAGCTACATTCCTATAAGAGTGTTAAGGTAATGGTCCTATTATGTCTCGTTTGAACAAAGTGATTTCCGAGAAAGCCACTATGCACGATCGTATTATTTATATTTAAGCGTATCGCTTCAACGAACTAATATAGACATGTGTACCTTAGTCCTTGAGTTATGGTCCTTGAGTTAAGTTCATAAGTGTTAAGCACCTTTGTATTTTTATATAATTTTAAGTTTGTTACAGTTTCTGGTTCCTTGGGCTTCTATCAATGCGTGTAATAATGTGGACATTTTCAACATGTTTATTAGTCTTGATAGTTATGTATATATAACTACTGGGCTATGTTACAAGAATTCTCTTACCATACAGTCGAAGTCTCTCTTTAGTTTAGTATTTGATCGGCGCTTGTCTTAGTGTATGTGTGAACAGATAGACGGATAGATAGGCAATCCACAATTGGTTCATCTCGATTCTGGATGCGTCTGTATGTAATTGGAAAATTGCTGGGTTAAAGCGGTGATTGGTCAGAAGCCCATAATTTCGAATGTGGTCTGTCTCTATAATGACAGACCATTTTTACGGAATTATGACGTATTTACGAATTGAATTGGGCTGTGTCGGATATGATATATTCAATATTTTTAAGCTGAATATATGGACTTACACGGGAATGACATGATGTGCGATTTACTGCCAGAATACTCTCGTATGTTGTCGTATACATGAGGCGAATTAGTGTATATAGGAGGCGGCTGATAGCTACTTAGACATAACCTTCACGTTTGATTTTCTTAATGGGATTTTGAGAACGGGAGCATTTGTTCCCTAAGTCCCACATTGTATGTCCTACTAAACCTGTTCCGGCTTTTTACCCACTACACAGGTAACATTCATCCTAGTAGGTATATAAGGTTCTAATATGGGAATCTATAATACGCAAGAAGCCAAAAGCCGCCAAACCGTCAATACACTAAAACAATTTATAAATTTAAACATTAAAACATTAAAATATTAAAATAATAAAATAAATAAAATAGTAAAATAGTAAAAATTTAAGGTTATAATTAATAAAAAAAAAATTATTATTATAAAAATAACGTTATAATTAATTACATTTTATATATAATATATTTTTAAATTAATTATAATTATATAAAAAATTAAATAAAATATTTTTATTATTAATTATTTTATTTAAAATTTTAATAACTTTAATAACTTTCGTTAATTTTTTAAAAATTTAACGTAATAATATATATATATAAAAAATATAATATATTTATATTATTATATTAATTAAAAGTTTATAATTTAATTATTATAAAATTAAAAAGTTAATAAAAAAAACGATAATATTTTAAAAAACTAAAATATTAATAAATTATAAAATTTAAATATATATATATATAAAATAATATTTAATTTAAATATTAAATTATATAAATAATTAATAAAATTAAATAATTACGTAATTTTTAACCGTAATATTAATTATATATATATTTTAATTATATTAATTTTTTTTTTAAAAAAAAAGAAAAATTTATTATAAAATAGCGTTTTTCTTTAAAATTATAAATAATTAATAAATTTTAATTTATAAAATATAATAAATTTAATTAAAATAAATTTTTAATAAATAAAATATTTATTAAATAATTTTTAAT